CCTTGATTTATCATCACCGCTCCGTCTGTTATATGCATTATTGTGCAACATCATCGTACACTACGGGTCATTGTGATTGTTCTTTGAAATAAAAGGGTAAAGTTTTCAGCAACATCCCAAAAACAAGGATAAATAAGTATTGTATGCATGAGTATTTTATACTGATGATATTTTTAAGTGCAACTATTTCGTGGATTGATTATTATAAAGTTGAGTGCAGTGAGTGAGCGTGTACAATAATTGTAGTGTTGGAAATTGATCTTTCTTACAGCCCCACCCTAAGGTCTTGTCTTCGGACCGATCCCTCCGTAGTATTAATAATATATTGCGTAATAGTCTCCTCCGGCGATGACAAGTTTGGTGGTTGACGCATCATCACAGGTTACAGTATAGTTATCGATCTATGATGCAATCTTCAGTTTTAGATTGAAGAGGTGGTTTCTCGTTTCTGTATGTGAACGCAACAGAACAACCGACCGCGCTAAGGTTTTAATTTTAAACGAAAGTACATCATTAACCCAGCTAAACATAGGTCTGTTCCTACCCTAAAAACCCCCTAACAGGGCTATGCCCCGCGGGTGAGCTTTTGGATGTCTCCATTGCTTGTTACTTTGTTAACATTTTAATAAAGTTATTAATTGTTTTCTACCACACGGCTAAATGAGTTGACCACTTAGTTAGTTTTAATTTATTTGTATAATACGAAGTTAACCTCATTATTCTTTCTGCTACGGACATTTGTAAAAATCCCAGATTCCTCGAACATAGGTGCTCGCAATGTTTTGTTTTGAATTTGTTATAACTTTTGAAATAGTTTGGCCTAAATAATAGCCTAAATTATTGTGGCCTTCATACACAGCAAACTAACCGACTGAGAAAAAATGTATCAATGTAAAGAAAGTCAAATCAATATTGTTCGAAATATTAAATACACAATTATTTGTATAGTTTTGTTAGTTAATTTTATTGATTAATCTAGCCCCCCCCCCCACCAATGATAACCACGGAGCTTTCCTCCGGGTGTGTTTGTTTAGTACATAAAAAATATGTGATCTCACCGTCCGGCAGCTTTATGGGGAACAGTATTTCACGTGCATCTTTATAGGAACCAATTGAACATTATTTTGATCTCACACCTCCCCCGCAAAACCCTTTGAATTAATATATAAAAAACATTGTTTGTCTAATTTTCTAAAGTTTCAACATCCGAACCGATCAAAGAGTCAAAAAGTCCGTGTTTTAAAGTGAAAGACACCGATGAAGGGCTAGTGGCAAACAAAGGCTACACACAGTTTGTCAGTGCCGGGCCGGGCGGCTGCTAGAGCTGGACGTACAGCAAATGACAAAGCAATGCAGGCCCCAGCAAATAAAAGAAATCGTTTTGTAGGCGTCCATTAAAATTGCCATTAGGATTAGTCTCAGTGGGTGATGGCAGTGTTGCCAACCAACCATGGTGACAAAGCAGGCGTACCAACCTACCAATGATGGGCTAGGTTTCGTCCTACAACATTACACTGTAAAGTTAGCATTAACGTTGATTCTTAAGAAACGCTCAAGTGCCTTGGAATAACTTTTACTATACGGATCGGAGAAGGACTCTGATTGACAGCTGACATTCGAATACTGAAGTAAACATTCTATCTGTATGAACCAGCTGATGCCAATTTTTATTCAATCGCAATAGAACAAAATAGTTTTAATTAGTTACTCAAAAAGTGCGCTACAGTAAACATTCGATTTCCTTCTTTGGGCTTTAGTAACGGGACTATGACATTTGACTTGACATAAATATGCTGTGGCTTGTAAAGCTGTAAAGGATAGTTAGTAGTAGTAGTATATAAAGCACATCCTTTATATTTTATTTTGTAAAAAAATTGGCGATTTTGGCAGAAACCAATTGACATCTTCGCACTCTGTAGGTTGTTCATCTCAACATCTTTTTGTTCCAAAGTGTTATGGGCTAATTACCGGATCGCCAATATAATCACATAAGAAACGTTTCACACCTTTCCTACTGTAATAAAATTAACTCATCATACTTTTACAACACACATCAGAATGTAAAAGAGCTCAAATCAGAACATTTTTAGGAAAACACGTCCAGCACTGAGAAGCTATTTATCATGTACTCCAGGTTCCATTTGCATTTCGCGGTGTCGAAAGTGGCGGGAGCCGCTCCCAGCAGCTGATATCTGCGGTCATCGTCCTCCATACTCTATGTAAACACACTCTGCCGTCTTACTCTATGCACAATGCTCTCTGTATATCTGCCATTTTATGAGGAGAGGCTTTTCACGCGAATCTGTAACATGGCGGTTGCTTTATAGGCTATTGTTCTCAATGAGGACTTAAACTGTAGGTTTGATGATTAGATTGCGTTTTCTTCAGTGTTTGTTACCATGTAATACGAGGAAAGTTTATGGATAGTTTTATTGTTGAGATTAACAAGAATCGGTAAAAAACTCGAGAGGGTGAAAACATTATTTTAGTTCGGTGATAGGATTGAAAGTATTGGAACATTTTCATTATGATCACAGTTACAGTTTGATTTCTGTTCGCAACGTATCTTGTAACAATTTGCTACTATTGTACCGGTGGTCACGACGAACCAAATGGGTTATTATGATAAGGATCTATAAATCCTGGGAATTTCGAAAACTGTGCATAGTTGCTTTATAAGTAAATCGTAAATCTGTTATTCGTAAGCGTTTAGTAGATGTTTCAACAACAAGAAGCACGTCAATTATACCATGCCAATGTTTATGACTAAAATTTCAAGATTGCTCCGCCCAACTCCAATTTGAATAACAATGTATTACTTCGACACTATATTCATAATCACATAAAGCGGGCGTATTGTTTCCTGCAACTGGAAGTTAGCTTTCTTTGGCATCACGCCAGCCAGAATGGAATCGCTTGCAACAGAGAAGAGCCGACAATCGCAATTGGCTGCATGAGCGACATTAATGGGCCAATTATGTGACCAAGTGGTGACTCATAGCTTTGATACTTTTCAATTCCTTACACTAGAGCAAGGTCCATCATATGCTGATTGATTTACCTCAGGTGTAATGCTATTTAATCTGCAATAATTTGAGGGGTTGTTGCAAACGATTTTTGTTACGTATTATCTTTATTTTTATATTTATTTTTGTTAAATTATTTATTATATTTTATTATCTTGAAGATGTGTATATCTACTTACAATATGGTGTAGCTTATTGTTGAATCCTCTCTTGGGTTCAGACATCGAATACAGACACATCTCTCCTCGACTGGGAGACCTGATATCTTATTGAAAGCAGACAGATGGAACTACCATACAGCACCGGGTCGCGAAGTTGTATACATTGTCATTAAGAATGTAAATCCAGGCTTCAATACTTGAAGCAGGATTCTAACCGTCTAAGAGACCAGCCGCACACTCCCTATATCCACTTAACGTAGTTTTAAGTAGTCATTTATATCCTGAATACTCGAAGTGAAAAGCCTTTTGCTAGGAAAAGGCAAGAACTCGTAATTTCTTATCAGAGTTCGAATGTCTCTTATAATTATTGTTGATTTATGGATGTTCGCAGAAAGTCATTATTGAAATGAGAACAGTTGATCGCGTTGTATAACAATCGTGGCTACGAGGTCAACGCTCCCGCAACCCAAATAAAACTCTGAAGATAACCCGCAGATGCGATATCGAGGGTCGTTCCGCCGCTGCTGCTGCCTCTACTTCCGCCGCTGAGACGCTGATGATGCCTCTACTTCCGCCGCTGAGACGCTGATGATGCCTCTACTTCCGCCGCTGAGACGCTGATGATGCCTCTACTTCCGCCGCTGAGACGCTGATGATGCCTCTACTTCCGCCGCTGAGACGCTGCTGCTGCCTCTACTTCCGCCACTGAGACGCTGCTGATGCTTCCATGTCTGCAGCACTGCAGCTGCTTTGTGCGTCTACTTCCGCCTCTGCTGATGACTACTTCCGCCGCTGATGATGCCTCCATTTCCGCCGCTGCTGATGCTTCCACGTCTGGAGCTGCTTTATGCGTCTATACTTCCGCCGCTTATGAATGATGCCTCTGCAAGGCAACACTAAATAAAATTTCTGCAGCTGCTTATGCCTCTACTTCCCCTACTACCCCTGCTGATGACTACTTCCGCCGCTGATGATGCCTCCATTTCCGCCGCTGTTTATGCCTCTACTTTCGCCACTGCTGCTACCTATAATGCCGCCGCTGCTGTCTAATCCCTATTTCTGTTGTTGCCCTGTCAGAATATTCATTGCTCCTGCTGCATTTACTTCAATTTTAGCTACTGGGCTTTTTAAAGGTTTTATTAATGGGAATGATATTAACTCCCTTTAACAACAACTTGACTTCTTTTACAAAATAATATAAAACCTTGAAACTCCATCCATTGATATTTTCCAAAGACAAAAAGACGACAATTGGTGTATCCAAAATCGTTCCCCACCTTGATCAAACAATATATATTTAACAAATTATATTTTAAACAAGTTAGAATTAGTTTTGATAGGTTATTTTCAAAAGAAAACTATTTTATTTTTGTAACATACAGTAGTTTGTTCAAATAATGGTGCAATATGACAAAAATATAGTTCATCACAAGGGCAAAAAGTGTCTTTTAACCCTCGCTGATTTTGGCACCTTTGATCTTGTGTCGAAAAGAGTCACTTTAGGCCTTATCGATGAAATATACTATAGATGATACATTTTTTTTTAATTTCACATAATATCTTGAGCTTCGCAAATTTTTGAATTATCAAATGTTAAACTTTAAAAAAATTTCAGTTAGATCCTACTGTTAACAGATACATCATCCATGCAAACCATTCCATTCCTTATTTTTTTAGATAAATAAGAGAGAGAGTAATCAAATGTAGGGAAAGAAAACCCTAAAGAAGTGCAAAGAAATGATTAACTTTAATTTATTTGTCTTTGTAATAAATCCTCTATAAGTAATTAATTGTTTCTCATCTTTGTTCACAGGCATGTAAAGGATGTTCCAACCCATTCACATGCGACTGCTCTGGCATCAAGGGAGAGCAAGGGATGCTGGGGATCCACGGACTCCCTGGCGTGGAGGGTCCCCCAGGAGAGATAGGATTGGATGGACCGCCAGGACCTAAGGGAGAGAAGGGACGTATGGGAGAGGGCGGGGAAACAGGAGAGAAGGGATACAGAGTGAGTAACATGTTTGTTAACTCTACATAAGTTGTCATTGTTACAAAGGTTTTCAAAATTTGTTGAAGTTAGATTACTTTGAACCATTCTTGATTTGACTTTGTGTCAGTCAACTTTCATAGTTTCAGGGAGCATTGCTCTTTGTACCATTTGAAGTCTGGGTTGCAGCATTTATTTTAACACAGGACTTTAAAAACTATTCACAACTCGACATAATCTTACATTTTCTTTTCCCTACTTGTGGGGTCTAACAGTGATAATCCAATGGGCGATTGTACGAATATCTCCTTAAAAATGTCTTATTTATTCCCTATTTAAATAGGATTAGTTTAACGAGTAAGTACTTACAGTGGCGGATCCAATTGGGGGGAAGAGGAGATTGCCCCTCCCCCGAGACTTTGGAAAATAAATCTAGTTAAAATACTATAGTTTTAAATAGCAAAAAATGATAATGTTTATGTCTTTGGATTTCCTAAAAAACAAGAGTTTTCAGTTCAAATTTTCCAAAATTTCCCGGGGGTGGGCCTTCGACCCTCCCTTTACTCCCAAAATTTTACCCTTAAAATCCAACCCCAATTTTTGCTAGAGTGTATAGTGCTGTCACCTCTAGGGTCCTCGAAACGAAAAAGTAAATCGGTCCCAAGTCCAGGTCTTACCATGAGACCGTTTTGATTTACTTTTAGTAAGATCTTTAAAATTTATCTGGAGGACTCTTATGATTTAATCTACTAATAATTTAAATTTTAAATTTTAATTTTATATAAATTTTACTAAGTTTCCACTTAGCCCGAATTTGTTATAGGTCAATTTTCCTAATATTCTTACACTATAAATTAATTTCTTTACCATGGAAAGCAACCTATCATGTACACAGAATAGATTTCCCATGTAATGTAAACATTTGAAACCAAAAACCATGGTGCAATCTGTTGAGATGGTCCAACTAAATTACCAACTAATGACAATATTCTGTGTCAGGTGATAAAACAATCAGCTGTTTTCTATGATACTGTAGTCAATGATACTACATTTAAAAGATCGATGGACTTCCCATGTGATATAAAAATTTGAAGCCAAGAAAATAGATGAATGTGATATTTTGTTGAATACGAATGAATTTTGGATGAATACGGTATTTTGTTAATTTACCAATTGATTACTGATAATTCTATGTTCTCTAGGGAGACGTGGGGTTTCAAGGAACTCAAGGATCACCGGGAATACCTGTAAGTTTTATACCACTACTTAATTTTTGTTCTACAATCTAACAATAATTTCCCTTCAATCCACTCTTTATTAGTTCTATGTTTTGTTACCATGTGCATCTATTACCTCTCGGACTTTAATATTCGAAGGTAAGCTATTTAAACTCTATCCCTTTTAATAATTTCAAATCAACGACTTGGATTTTCTGTTAATTTATTTAATGAAAACATGTTTCATCCCTATGAACAATACTATGTTTATACCCCTATGTTTATAATAATTCACAAATTTTTCAGGGATATCCCGGATCTGCTGGTCCCAGGGGACCCGCGGGTCTGGAAGGGTGCAATGGGACAGATGGACTCCCCGGAGTGTATGGAGGTCCGGGTGCTCCGGGTCTGAGAGGAGATCCGGGAAACCCTGGCAGGAAAGGTCCTCCTGGAGAAGCTGGAGAAGGAGGCACCAACAGTCCTGGAGCGAAGGGAGATAGGGGCGATTCTGGACTACCGGGACCTCAGGTGAGAATAATATTCTAACTATGTTTAAAATGCTAACAATTTTATGTAAATTTTAAGAAATCATCATTTTGATGAGATTTGATTTGAGTCATCAGCAGCTATATACTTTGAATTACAATGGCATCATCAATATGAGGCTCCACAGACACTAACACTACAATTTAGGTATTCTGTGTCCGATGATGATCAGACAGGAACTCATCTCAAGCACTTAGCAATACGTTTCTGTTTGTGTGACATGATCGTACCCAGAAGACTTAGTTTAGAGTAATATAATATATTACTATATAATATACTATATAATATATTATAAACTATATTATAGTTTTAGCAATATTTAAGGAACTATAAGTTAGATTAATTTTGACTCCACCAGTTATATATTATAAATATTATTACTGGTACCTTCCATCATTAGCAGTCAAATACATATACAGTCTATTTTAATATTTTACCCATCCAATATTATTAGGGACATTATAATAAACTGCATAATACATTCGTGTTAGTATTTAAAAACAATATAGTCAATAAATTTTATTTAAGCAGCCATAAATTGGAATCATTAGGTACCAAGCCATCATCATTAGTCAAGACTTAATAAAGCATATTTTTAATTTCTTAACAGCAAAATATTTTGAATATAGATAGCCTCATTTCCACTTCCTTTTATATTCCCTAACATTATCAATGAGTAACTATTCAGTAGATATAATGTAGTTAGGGTATTTTCCCAGAGTTCTCTTGTGAAAAGATAAAACTTGTACAAGTAGACATCATCCTTGATTACAACAATATTATTTGGCTCAGGTTTTCTTGAGGATTCTGGATTATGTGACTTAACCTAATGAATTTTAGGGTTTCCAGAAACAGCAAAAGTCTTCGATTTCTGAAATCTTTTGTTCTGTTCCAGGGACCGCCGGGATACAGAGGACAGGAAGGATCCATTGGACCTACAGGACCCACTGGCGATATGGTAAATTACCATGCTTTTATTTAACCGTTCCAATGTAATTAATAATTTCTTATGTCTGACTTTATTCCTTGTGATTCTCAAATATTTTATTTCTTTTCCCTTGCAGTTTAGTTATCTATATATTAATTACGTAAGGCGATTCTTTGTGTCAAAAATGTGGGCGACTGGGATGTCGTAGAACGATGGGAGAGGGCTCAAATTAAAGGTCTCTATCCCGAGACGGCAGGAAAAATAGTAGAATTCCTAAAATTTTTACAGAAATTTAGATATAACGTAAAATGTTCTTCATAAGAATAGCATTGGATGCCATACACAGCTGATATTTTTTTACTTCAATATAGTTGGTCACGCTATATTTCCAAGCCAGTATTCAATACACACGCAGTTGGTTTATTTCTTAGCCAGTTAACTCTGCAATGCACTGTACTCAGGCCCACTTTTATAAACGGGCAGACTGGGCATATGCCCAGGGGCGCTGGTGGTTTGGGCGCGCCCACTGGGAGCCCCCAAACCACCACCTGCCAGCACTAGGAAAAAAGGGGGGCGCTGCTCTTGGGTTTGCCCAGGGCTCCACTGACCCTTAACGCAGCCCTGACTGTACTCTATATTAAAACAAGAGATAAAGTTATTTAATTGAGACGTTTTGAAAACCAAAAACCAAACCAAAGATATTCATGTCAACTGTCAATATTGGCTTTGACAACTGGGAGATGGAACCTTAAAACCATAAAATATTACTCAATGTGGCTAATAATACTGTTCATTTTGTATAGTACTTATTTACTTATCTCATCACGATCAGTCGAACGCATAAAGGAAAAACATTGGATTTCATATGTAGATAACAACAACCAAAGCAAACAGAGCGTTATTTAGACAAATATATGGTGTACAGGCGTATCCATCTTGACAAATAAATAATTTGATTCTTAGTTTGTTTGAATATTAAAATAAGTTATTTTACAATTTTGAGCTTTTTAGGGAGTTATGTCCCTACATGACCTTGGTAACTTTTATTATTGTACTACTATACTTTTTTTTTTTTATAGTTTACTTTAATATTTGCGTTTTTGAGCCAGCTGTACTTGATCATAAGGCTTTTTAATGTTCCTTTACATTTAACAAAAGATTGTGCAAAGTATGGTACACAAAAATAGTTACAATAACTGTAGGAAACTCAACGTTATATCCTTTCCTTTAAACATATATTTATTTATAAACTACAAACTATCATCCCAGGGTCCGCAAGGAGACCCAGGCTGGGGAGGTGAAAAAGGAGATGACGGAGATACAAAACCCGGTCAGAAGGGACAACCGGGTGATCCGGGTGAACAAGGGGACCCAGGACCTCCAGCGATCAGCAATGGGGACCATCCAGAGGCAGGAACAGGGACTGACTCCAGCGCCTTCAAGGGACCCAAGGGACCTAGAGGTCCTAAGGGCTTCCGTGGAGACTGGGGACCGAAGGGAGAAATGGGAGCGAAAGGTCCACTGGTAAGTTTACCTGGTTTTTAAAACATGTAAATTGTTGAGTTAATTTACAACACAGTGTTGTTCCCTTCCAAAGGTAAGCTTTTACCTTAAAGGAAAAATGCAAGAACTTTTATGTTGATATTGAATTTTTAAGTTGTGTTCTTAGTTTCCTCAATCATTATTAGAGGTAGTTTTACAAAATTAAAAAAAATGTTTTAATTTGTAAACAGGACTTTTTATAGCATCCAAATGTACCTATACCATTTAAATTTCCAAACCAAAATTAACTTTGTTTAAGTTATGTTGCAAGGTAGGGTATTTTGGAGGATAGTTTAACCATATATTATACCTTATCAAAATTTTTTAATTGCAGAGCATTTTTTACCTGTCCTTTACTCCCACTTTACTCACAATAGATCAACAGTTTTCTTTCAATTCATTCAACACATATATACAAATTTTGAATTTTTATTTTAAACACATTATTAGTATTAGTTAGTTAATTATTCGTGCACATGTTTACAACCTTTCTACTCTACTTTTTAGTACATTTATTGTTAATGTTTTCTTTTAAATGTTTAATATTTTAGCTGCCAATCTTAAATAAAATTTTCTCTCAGCACATTCACTGATCAGCAGTGAATGTGCTGAGAGAAAATTTGATTTTATAACCAAGCAATAAAGGTTGGAATATGGCTAAGCTTTAATATCTATTGCTGAGGTAGCAGTGATTCTAAAGACCATTATCACTAATATTTTATAATAACAGTTCTCCACAACCAATTACAGACCCAACTATGCTCCAATCAATGCTAACTGTAAAACATACAACTTGAAAACAAAGGTCCAGCATAATATATCTACCATTCTAGCTTCCAATAGCCGTCATGGATAAACTACCCCATCAGCAAACAAGTCAAGAAAAGTAATAAATGATAATTGAATTCCTTCTAATATACTTTAACCACTGTGCAATGACAGGGATTTTCAGGGTTGGCGGGTCAGAAAGGCTACAAAGGTGAGCAAGGTGCCGATGGACCCAGAGGCAAGCAGGGAAAAACTGGACCCGATGGACCTCCCGGGCTCAAAGGACAGAAAGGAGCTCCCGGGTTAACTGGACTGGACGGGCTCGACGGAGCTAAGGTTGGTAATATACGTATGAAACATTTAGTTTTGCAAGAAATTTATAAGCTTTTATACTGACCCTCCTATACTCAAGTTGGTACTATACCTCACCAACCTAGCCTCTCTCGTGGGTTTGGTTCACAGCATCCTCTCAATTTCCTTATATCCTTCTAGACCTGGACCCGCCCACCATCTTGCTATGGGTCTTCCTGTTGGTCTTCTACCTTCAGAGAGATTTATAACTATACTCACCGTCAAAAAGTATTTTGAGATTTTTTCACATGTGTCTTAGCTCTGGACAGGATGGACCTATCCACTGCTTTAGTGACCACTGTAAAAATAATGATGTTAGTAAGATTTGGGAGTTTTTGTTTATTCCCAATATAAAATCAATCCAATTGGTTTGAATGTCTAAAAAAGTTTTCTCGTAAAAATATTTTGTCATGAACACATCATTCTTAGAATAGCCAACCATAGAAAAAAATATCTCTGCAAAAATTTGGAATTTTATTGGATAGGAGTGTATTAAAAAGAAAACACACTCTATTTCTATTTCTTCCCCTTGGTGATGTTCTATGATTTTCCTATGTTTCCATAGTTTGCAAATCGTCTCTTTCAATGATTACTAAGAAATGCAGCACAGTGTTAATTTAAAGGGCCTCAGGGTCTCACCCTCTAATTATTTCCCTAAAAAGAAAGTTTCCTGCACAATTTCACGTTACGCTCTTTCCAATGACACCAAGAACATATAAATCGGTTCAGTAGTTTCGGAGGAGTAATTGTCACAAAAAACCTGCTTGCGTATTAAATAGGTAAGTATAGTTTACGAAATTCTTGTATTTAATAAACATCTAATGGATTTGTTCCTTCAGGGTCAACCAGGAGAAGAGGGAAGAATGGGAAGACCTGGAGACCAAGGTCCTGAGGGAATTCCTGGAAGATATGAACCCAACCTGGACTTAATAGTCAAAGGACCAGAGGGCAGTCAGGGACCTGTAGGTAAGTGCTGCAATAAAAAATTGAAAATATACTTCTACTATGAAAAAAGCAAGAAATGTAAAACACTAAATAACGCGGGGCGCATGCAATAGATTATTTACAATTATTATCTTTACTTATTGAACTATTATTATCTATTGCATGTGCCCTCGTTTTTCATTTAAAACTTACAAGTATTTATTCTCTCCACATATTTATAAATTATTTTATATTTTAAAATTATTTATATTTTCTTATTTCGTTTAAAACATGGTATTTTTTAAAGTTTTTTTTATTTATAAATTATTCTTTTGTCTGGTAGCTATTATCCAACACTTATAACATACATCAAAACATACAGGGTAAAAAAATAGTCCCGGCACAAGTAATTTTTTTTTTTTAAATAATAAAAGTTGAGCTTCAAAACTTAGTACAAAGTTGTTAGGCATTAAAATCAATATAGCACATTATTCAGTGATACGCTAATTCCTCAGGGGGACGGCCCGATAGGAGTTAGAAGAAAATCTTAAATGTAAGCACATCAAAGGTCTATATTTAGTAGAATACAATGCCGTAAACTCTAATTAAAAAACTGACAACTGAGTAAAAAATTACAGCTGTTCAAAGATTCTTTGAATTTGCAATGCTTTTATTAGCTACCTCCTCAGGAGGCGCCTGCTAGAAGTCGGAAGAAAATCATAAAGGTAAGCATAGGTTGATATGCACATCAAATTAAAGGACTTCATTATGAGTCCTAGTGGGCTGTCCCCCTGAGGGGGTAGTTTGTCATTGAATAATGTGTTAAAATGGGGTTAATGCTCAGTAACTTTGTACCAAGTTTTGTGGCTCTATCTAGATTATGTTTTGAAATATACAACTGTCCTTGGACCTTTTTTCCACCCTGTATACAAAATAACAGTACAACACGGACAGTATTAAAACGGGAAGGGGGTTTGTTGCTCAAAGATCCTGAATCAACTGCCTGACGGATATTTATGATTCTTTTTTTTTAAGGAAGTATAATTTTGAGAGGAAGGGAGGAAGATATAATATCAAAGAATAACAAAAGTTGTTGTAAAGTCGTCGGATAAAAAATATATATATATATATATATATAATGAATGAAAAATATGTAGCCACGTGAAATTCGTTTACAGAGAGTATTTTCACAATAAAACCGTTAGAATTGGCATTTGGCTTAATGTACTTAATATGTGCATGTAGATGTTGATATCCACAGTTCTATAGTTTCATCAACCAGCTGTTCTAAACAGTTTTAACTGACTACCCTGTACTTAGGATGAGACCACAGCTAGCATTGTGTTATTGTGTGTGTGTGTTAAATGTTTTATCCCATTGTAAATTTTAAGCTCGTTTTTTGTGTCTAGTTCATGTCCAGTGACACTGATTGCTAGTGTCGACAAAATTTTTTCTATTATTTTTGAGTTAACGTAATGCTTTACTGTTTGGTTATGTAACTGTAGGACGAGTAATTGTATATGATTAGATCATTTGATTTGGTTAAACAAGGTTTTATATGACTAAAATAACAAGAAACAAATTGTAAACAAAACACGACATCTGCAGTGCACCGGACAGTACTAACAATAAAATTGGCTTCAGCTGTTCCATAAGTATGAGAAATCTACTAAGGGAGTATGTTTTATCTATGATTAAACCTCCAAGTGAATGAAGCTAAAAAAATTCAAATTTTTTAACCGAGCTGCAGGTGACAATTCATCAGGATGCATAATTTTGGGTGTCCTTTTTTAGGTTTTCCTGGAGATCAAGGCCCTTCAGGAATCCCAGGAAGACCAGGAAGTGTCGGGATCATCGGAGCCCCAGGTCCTCCCGGAGCCCCTGGAGCACCCGGTGGAAGAGGTCCCATTGGACTTTCACTTAAAGGAGAAGCAGGAACAGACGGTGAGTTAACAAGCATATTCTTCATAGTTTGTCTAAATGTCTTTGTAAATTTTATAAACATATACAGTCATAATAAAATATATCCATGAGCAAGGAAACTGCTAGAACAGCTAGTTTACCTATTCTCTATCAGGATAACATGGCAATTTTAAATTAGTAATTTTTAGAATTTTCTCTTTAACCAATAACTGTACAAAAACACTTTTTGTTTTTGAAGCTCTTTAATCTCATTTGGAGAGAAATGGGGAAAATTTATGTTTTGAGGGTCAAAAATGATAATACCAAATTTTTACCCATAAAACCCATTCCCATGGTCCGATCACGCTCGATAGCAAACTCGTTTAATTAACGTATGTACCAAACTTCATCGAAATAGGATCATTTTTGCTCGAATTGTCGTACTAAAAGACACACACATATAAATATATAAATATATATTTATTTATTTATATATATGTATGAATTTGAACGGATTCCTTTGGCCTCTGGAGACATCAAAATGTAAAAGTAAATCGGTGATGGGTCCAGGTCTTACCATGCGACCTACGATAGTAGCTTATTTTCTATATGGGACATTCCCTGAAATTGGATTAAAAGCTGAATCGTTTCTTGCTCAATAAAGATATTTTTATTGTTTTATGTACTGAAAACAAACGTATGTTTTAGGAGCGCCTGGAACTCCTGGATTACAAGGAGCCCCCGGACCTTCTGGACCAAGAGGAGTAATTGGAAAGAAAGGATATCCAGGGCAGACTGTGATAGGATCACAGGGTCCCGCTGGGTATCCCGGCAGAAGTGGCATTCCCGGACAACCAGGAGACCGAGGAGAACTGGGACGTAGAGGTATGTAAACAAATTTTGGTTTAGGACACTGACTAATTCATTTCAGCGTGACCTGGTTGGTCTGGGGGCGCATCCGGTGGGCAGTCCTCGGTAATCGGCCCGCACTCAAGGTGTATATCCCCTTCTCTTCTCAAATTTTAGTGTATATACCGGGGTTAAACCTTTCCTCTTGCACAGACGTTTAAAAAGCCAGCCACAAGGTTAGAAACACATCTTCCTAGGGGGGTGTGGTGATATATTGTCTGGATGCAATTTTGGTTTTTGCATACAATAATTTAAAAACTTAGTTCCGTTTGGACCGTTTGGTCAGTCAATATGCTACTGTATGGATTTTAAACTTAATTGTCTTGTCTTCATTACTTTTTATAAAATAAATGGTCACCATTTTAAAAGTACTCAAGCGAGATCAATAACTGATTTAGGGGAAGGTACGTGATAACAAGTATTTTTTAAGGGAAAGAATAAGGAGTGATAGACATAGTTTTATCAGTTTAATTTAACTTTTTTAAATTTAAATACTTTTCATCTGCCCAATCACAACAGTTCATGTTTACCTGCAGTATTAAGTTTTGTTTTTTATTTTAATGTGTGGTTTCCAATGTTTGTGTACGTTTGGCCAGTTTATTTCTCATTGCTCTTGAAGAAATAAAACATCCAGTACTAAGCCGGAAGATGACTACATGGGAAAGTCAAAACTAGTTGCCTTTATTCCTTAAAGGAACATTGTGGATTGCATAAAAATACAGGCATTTACACTAATTTTCAGTAATTTCAAACTATTTTTTTCAGGAATGAAAGGTTACCCAGGAACAGGAGTGCCAATTGTAGGACCACCGGGAGAGAAGGGAATACCCGGACCTCAGGGAGATTCTGGATGGCCTGGAGGAGAAGGGTTTCCTGGACTTCCAGGAAAGAAGGGACCTAAAGGAGATGACTGTGGTATCTGCCCACCAGGTACTGTAATAGAATTGCAATGGAAATGGAGATTTTGTAATTCTCCGTTGTCATACACTTTTCTAACCTTTTTGGCTATTTAGAACGATGAAATCCCTTTCAAAATGAGCCCACTTAAATCTTTGCTCATAAACATGTAAGACATGTTTGTAAATTTAGGTCCAGGAAAACACAAAACTAGGTAGTGTAAATGTGTCTTTCCAGATAAAAAATGTGTCATACATTTTTTTTAAATCAAATTGGCATTGAGAACAGAAAAATAACATGCCATAATATGATGAATATGTATAATAATTTATGTTATGACTTTATTTGAACTCGACTAAAAATATGTCAGAGACTCACTAATATACATCATCACTCAGTCATTTAACCTATCATGCAACATAATGATAGGAAAATGACACCAAAGGTATGATCCATATAATCTTAATAAACTTAAGCAAATAACTACTAAGATAATCTTGATGCCTGTACTAACCAATTTCCATATTCCTTAACATAAAATCATAACATTAAAAAATTTAGTGAATTTTGTAATTTAAGTACTGTATATGCATATTTAAAAACAATCTTTGATGGAAGTTTTCATTTTCAATGGTATCTTGTCTCATAGGTTTGCCGGGTCTGAATGGAGAGCCAGGGGAAGGTGGAAGACCGGGTCAGGCAGGTCCTCCGGGTCGGGCAGGTCTGGTGGGTCCAAGAGGACCAAAGGGGGGCCAAGGTTTTAATGGGGTCAAGGGGGATAAAGGACCTAAGGGGCGGTCTGGCCAACCTGGTAAGATTGTGTATATTAATATTAAGTTTTTATTTTCAATTCAAAATCATCTAATTTTAGAAATCCTAAGCATCCTATGGTTGTGGCCTAGGAGAGTTGTTGTCTTATAGCTCGGTTAGTGTGGGGTCTTTTAAAATTTATTTATTTATTTATTTTATTTTTTGTTTAGTTGTATTTCTAGAGTGTTAAATCCTGCAATTGTCAACATATTGTTGTTTGCTCTATAATGTACCTAGCATTTGCTTTGTAATGTATGCCTGTCATCTTGTTGATTGCAAAAATGCTTGTACCGTACTAAATCAAGTCATCATATTGTAAACTAGTTTATGCCATAAATATGAATAGAATTGAATATACTCTTAAGTGCATAAAAACAAAAATATTACATAAAAAAGTTTGCAAATGTGACAGTGAAAATCTGGCAGTTTAGTGTTTAGTGAATCAGTTGACTTTATCAGTAGTAGAGTGGCTAGGATATTAATTTCATAATAACATTTTCAGAAAATCTAAGAAAATTTTTTTATATTAAAACTGAACAAATGTGCATAATGTATGTGAACAATGATGTGATTAAAGGTATATGTGATTTAAAAACCACATGGACTCATACCAGTTACTTGTGCAAGAATACTTCAATATTGGGAATTACCTGGTAAATCTTCCACAATGTAAAGAACAGATATGAATATCTGTGTACCTTGAAAAGATATTATTCTAATACAAAATATCATCCAACCCAAGGTTTGGCCGGAGCTCAAGGACCCAAGGGAGAAGAGGGGAAGGTCCGCTTCCCTCCAGACGCTATACTAGATTTTGGAGATAAGGGACTTCCCGGATACATCGGCAGTCCAGGTTTCCGAGGTGAACCAGGAGAGAAAGGACTTTCTGGATACAACGGACTCAAAGGCCTTAGGGGAATGAAGGTACGAATGACTGCTTTTTCCAAAGGCTCTGTTATTGTTATGTTGCTTGATTTCATTTTTATCTACACCATTGCCATTTTTATGTTTTTATTAAATGCAATTCTGGTCTTTATAATCTAAATTCGACCTTTTTGTTAAAGTGTGTGATTAATTATCATCATTATAGCTAAGTGATTTTAGTGCTTTCCTGACTATCAGAAAGTTGGCTGAGAAAATTTTAAATAGTCTTAATGGTTTGAACCTAGAATTTTGGAACTAGACCGAGCTGTCCTTGATAATTAGGCTTCTGATGATGGTCCTGGCTAAATTACCAGTTGATGTTAGTCAGAGACAGAATTAGTTGTCATCTAATTTATTCAGCATTCACCCTTTTTTTCAATCAATTCAATCTAAAGTAAACTAAAAAATTATTGTCAAAGTATATGAATAGTTAGTTTTCATTAAAAACTAGAATTAGTTTTTATCCTGATACGAAACCAAGGATTTATAACAGTAAAAATTATCTTTTTTCCTAGGGAATGACAGGAGACTCAGGTATTCCTGGTCAGGATGGCTGGAATGGTAATCCAGGTCTGCCAGGTTTCAAGGGAGAGAACGCAGAGTTTCTGGGGCGAGAGTATCTTCTGAGAGGTGACCCGGGATATGACGGATACCCAGGCGAACCCGGACAACCCGGAGACAAGGTTAGTGCCTGGATGTTTCAAACATTCTTATATGATTGACATATTGATTGGAATTTCATCCAACTAACTAAAAATGTGTAGCCTATACTTTCATTTGAAAACCATCCAAGAGTTTTACGATGACAAAAAAGTTCAGAAACTATATTAACTTTGTTTGCCCACAGGGAGCGAGAGGTTTACCTGGAGACATGGCTGAAAACTCAGTAGACATCCAGGGAGAGCCTGGGCCACCTGGACCTAGGGGAGACAGGGGTGAGTGAGCCCACAAAATATGTAATAAAACTGCCGTTTTTGCTGCAGTATGACAAAGTGTACTAGTAAAATACAATCGAGCACGTTCTGGGAACACTGGCCAGTGCACCTGCACAGGACCGGTGCAGAAAATGCATCTTCTGGGAGACCGGTGAGTTTACCTAGCAGACAGCTATACACTAGCGGCTTCTGCTTGGTAAGTTTCTTGGACACTAGTCTGCAGCTACGGTATGATAGCGGATCCATCGAATAAATGTTCAATTGTTCATAAGTTTGCTGGATTATTACACAATAAGTGAATAATATATCAATAATTTATTGTGTGGGGGAAGGTTGGTTTGATTTTAATATTATAAAGTAAATAGTAGGTGATGTGTAAATTACAATCCTATGTGCACCGTAAACCGGTGACTTACCGTTCTGGGATCCTAAAACTCTTGCCTTTGGGCGGCACAGGTGAGTAAGTCACTGGATCATCTGCACCGGTGCACCAATACATGTTCCCAGAGCGTGACCAATCACTTTTTGATACTGAAGTAAACGTCCATCTATGGACAGCTGTCACCAGTTTTTTACTTGGAGAGAACAAGTTGGATGAGCCACTCACAGAGTGTGCTACTGTCTAAATTATATTTTATCCTTTAGCTTTCACTATTGATAAAAGTAGACATACCATTCCCAAGCCGAAGTGGTTTGCTAGTTTAGATTTAAAATAATCGTAGTTGAACTTAGCCACTGATCTTGTGCACTGTTGGCAATTGCTGATTCTTGTTGAATACACCAACTATTTAGCCAAGTCAGACTGAAATTTTAGCTTGTTGTAAACTATAGCTTCTTTAATGTCACATCAAAAATAAGAAAATAAAATTTTCACAGAAGTGCACTATGCAAGTTTTTGTTTATTCAACTATTTTCTACTTGAACAAAAATTGGCTACAGCTGTTCCATATAGATGAAATTTATACTTCATATCTAAAACCGGAGAGCACTTGTGCATGTTTAGATTGAGAGCAATACTTTTAACGATCTACAACTTTGTAATTTAAATTTATTCCATCTTCACTCTTTCACTCCCAAATTCAGGCTTTAACTTAAAATTTTACCCGGACAGTTTATTACATGTAATATTTTTTTTACATATTGAATTGGACTGAATTGAATAACGACAGCTCAATGTATGGTACCTATACCTATTTAAAATAAAATCACACTGTAAGATTATTTATTGTTTGATGTGTTTAAGGGGAGCATGCCGTGAGATGGGTAAAAAAAATCGATTTTTTGAAAATGCTTTAAATTTATTGCCCGTTTTATGCTGTTTAAGAAAATATATAACACTATATACATAACTTGTATATTTTCAGCTAAATAAAACAATTAAATAATGTTTACACATGTTTGGCGCTAGGCCTACTAGCGTGCTCTCCTGAGATGCTCATTGTTTTCACACAAATAGTAACCATCTAACTATCTAAGTAAATTTGATATATAGTATAACAAGTAAACACTAAGGAGTATTTCATTTGTGCTGTTGGTAGCACTGAATATTTACAGATTATCAGCTGGCCTTCTGCTTTGTTTGTTTACACCTAATGTTTACATCTGTCGTCTGTCCCAGTGTTTGTTGATTGTTGTTGTTAGCATTTTATTCATTTCCATTTGGTGTTTAGTTTTGTTTTGTCGTTACTTTCAAGTAAATTAGGCCTAGTTTTTCATCAAAATGCCTAGGATTAGAAAGTTTGGGAAACACAAGTTTAGAGGAGTACTTGCCAGGAGGTTTCTAGTGCACTAGTGACAGTAGGCCTATTCGTGTTCGTGTTTAAGTTCAATTTCCCGAAACTTCTGTTTTTTAGTGTTTAGGTACCGTTTCTATGGAAACCATTATGAGTAGAGACTTGAAATTTTCACCAGTTGTTCCTGGTAGTTTGGTGAGTAGAATGATGCAACTATGTAATATTATCTTCATTATAAATGGTATAAATATTTTTATTTTCATAAAAAAATAATGAAAAAATGTATATACAATTTTTTTAATAATATATTTTTTTTACTATTTGCCATAAATTAATTATTTTGCATGGTTTTACTTGTTTATATGTATAGAAGCACCAAAAAAAATTTCAGATCAATATCTCATATATTTTCTGAGATAATGGTACCGATATAGAAGCTTGTTACCCCATATAATTAGCATTGTGGCCTAACTCACAGCGTGCTCCCCTATTGTTTGATGTGTTTAAAGTTTAACAAACCCAAATGTTTAGGTTACGATGGCAGGAAGGGGTACCAAGGACCAACAGGAGATGCTGGAGTTGCTGGACTTCCTGGGGATCAAGGACCATCAGGAATAGAGATCCAGGGTCCACCTGGACAACAGGGATTCCCAGGGGAGTTTGGAGACCCAGGATTCCGAGGACGACCAGGACCTCTCGGAGTGTATGGACCTAAAGGAGTTGCAGTATGTATCCAAAAATTGAATTCAATAAAATATGTTTATATAAAATTTGTACAAATGATTCTTTTTTTCAGTTTAATGTCTAAATATTTATATCTTTTCAATAGGTAGTAATAGCTTCAAATGATAAGTGAAACTGTTTAACTGAATTAAATGGTTTACTCTTTTTCACCATCTCTAATTCCACTATCAAAATATAATATTTATATTTTTTCTGAAAAAATCACATAATTGTACTTAAGTGTATAAATAATCGCTGCAAAAGCCAGGAAAATATTGGCTTATCTGCAGTTCTTTCATAGTGAAAACTGGTTGCTTTATAACAATCTACTTTGACCTCGTCAGTCCTTAACACAACTTTTCTTTTCCCCGTTTTCTGGTCAAGGTCTACTTTCACTGTTCTTTCCCATTCTACTCTATACCCTTCAAACACTATTATAAGCTAAAATATAAGCCTAAACTAATTAACTACTGATTGATTATGCATCCAACTACCGTCCGAATCATAGTTTACTAAAGCCTTCATCTCCATATTACATAATTTAATGTAAAACTATTTCATAGAGAAAAATTCTGACATATGTGGATTTTTCAGGGTAGAGACGGAGAAAAGGGTTCAAGAGGAGATCCCGGAGCCAGTATCCTGCAGGGAGAGATGGGAGAGCCCGGACCATACGGGGATAAGGGACAACCAGGAGACGAAGGTCCTCAGGGACTGAAGGGATCGAGGGGATACGACGGGTTCAAGGGAATCAAGGGAGAAAAGGGGGCACCTGGACTTCAAGGCATTCCTGGCAGAGAGGTAACTTAATGTTATGAAAAACAGCGGCTCAATACTTGCGTTGTGAGGATAAAGTAGTTCTTCTCATCACTAGGGTAAAAAATGTAATCAACAAGCAATGGAAAAGAACTTCTCATGAAAAAAGATCAGTTTTATGTGTGAAGAATTGGAGATTGGGAGAACTACCTATGGATGGTCATGGTTGTAAGCTAAGAAGGATAAGGATATTATAAGTAAATACATAATGTTTAGAAATACAAGTTGTCTTGTCAGCTTTTTAGGAATGAAAAACCATCTCTACATGGATAGCTTCTCTAAGAAATAATTCCTTGGCAACAAACCCTGGACATAAGAATGAAATTATTGAGAGCAGCATAAATTGAGCACATTATTCATCCTTCTCCAAAGAAAGCCTTGGATACATGTTTATTGCACTGATGTATCTAAAAATTTTTTTTCATAAATAATTTTTTTTATCCTTGATTGTAGGGACCTCATGGACCTCCTGGAGACACAATTCCAGGACTTCCAGGAATTCCGGGACAGCCAGGAATGGATGGTTTGCCTGGAGACCCTGGATATCCTGGACAGAAAGGTATTTTAACCGGGAAATAGTGACATTGGTGTTTCCCAAATCTGAATCTCAATTCAACTTACTCAATCCAAACACAAATAGAGCCTGTACTGTACAAGGGAAGAAGGTACTAAGCTTCTTATAATTTATTGTCGGGACCACATAAGTTTGCAGTTGAGGGAGGAGCCGATTTACCATATGGTTTTCAATGAACCAATGAGAACGGTGTGGTGTTGCCAAATCTAACAATACCAGCTGATTTGAAAATATAGCTTTGTATATTTTTAGTGTTGTCAATGGGTGATGTGGCAACGTCGCACTAGCCTCGTCTTGTGATTGGCTGCCACCAACGGCAAACTTACATGGTCCCGACAATAAACATTTTATTTGTGTAAATACTAATTGGTACCGGTACTGGTTTGTCTGGGAAATAAGTACTATTCTGACTATGGTTTGTTAAGTACATAAATGCCATAAAAAATTATGTTTTCTTTTAGGACACTTTTTCAGGTTTCCTATTTACAATTCCTATCAACATTGGGTTAAAATTGTTTAAAAAAAAAAGATTTAGGTACTGTTTCAACATAACCATTTAATTTCAATTTTGAATACGTAGCCAAGTGGTTATACAGTGATCATCTTCAAAGGCTGCTTGTTTGTTCCCAAGAAAAATCCTTCCTGGACCAAAAAGCCATCTGCCATTGGGCTCTCAATTAATGGCATCATCCAACAAAATGTTTATGTTAGATAGTAAAAAGACCAGAGTTTGGACGGTTCTAAAAAAACATAAAATATGCTACAGACATAAAACGTACAAAACAAAAATCAAATTCGCTCCTAAAATTACCTAAACTATTTTTATTTAGTTTTAAAATACTATCTATTTTTCATATCTAACAAAGATTGTTCAAAATATTAATGAAAGAGTTTTTAAGTTGCAATAAAATTTCAATTTCTCTCTCTAGGACAGGATGGACCAATCGGAGAGATGGGATTGAAAGGATTGAAAGGGGACTTTGGTTTTCCCGGTCGGAGAGGTATCGACGGAGAGCCAGGACTACCAGGATATCCCGGACGTCCGGGACGCAAAGGTCTCAATGGGATAAGAGGAATAGAAGGAGACACCGGAGACATGGGGCTTACAGGTACAGTGCTTAGATAGTTCTTCATACCACTTTACTCTTTGAGCTGCAAAGAAATACCTGTATTAGCCATCACTAGTAGGATCATAAACAAACTTCTATTTATAGTATATACAGATAAAACCCAACAAAATCAGCTGAAAGTCTCTGACATGTGCTATAACCTCAGTCAAGCTTGAACTATGTACAGCTTTTGTCTGGCTCTGGGTTGATCAGTGGTGTTAGTCTAGTAGAGTCAAGGAACCCTCGGTTATATCTCCCTGGATAGATGATTGCATTGTAGGTTGAGAGTTTGTATCCAGTCTTGGGCAAGTGTGGTAAGAAACTCTTAAGCTACTATTGTAATGAAATTGCAGATAAGCTGAACTCAATCCCTAATAAGACAGGACACAATTAAACTGTAAGATAGTTAAATGTGTTATTTCTACTATACCAACTAATAATTTCAGAATGTCAAACCTGTAATTCTTTACACAACTTTAACTAGACATAGAAGTTGGACATTTCTTTTAGTCAAAAAATTATTAAATTTTCTATTATGTTAGTGCAAATAAAAGTGTACATTTATTTATTTGTGAGATCTGAGATGACCTTAACTTGCAGGCCTCCCTGGACCAAGAGGTCAGGTGGGACCCCAGGGATATCAAGGGTTCAAAGGTGAAAGAGGGGAAAGGGGATGGCAAGGTCCGGTGGGACCTATGGGGCTCCAAGGATTCCAGGTAACACTAAAAGTGTTTAATTTTAGCGAATTTCCCATATAGGGAATAAGCTATTACCGTAGAACTCATGGTAAGACCTGGACGCGGGACCGATTTTTTTTTTTCGTTTTGAGGTCCCTAGAGGCTAAAAACACCATCCGTTCAAATTCATATATATATATATATTTATATATTTATATATTTATATTTATATATATATATATATGTGTCCGTCAGCACGATAACTCGAGCAAAAATGATCCGATTTTGATGAAATTTGGTACAAACGTGTAAACGTACGTTTATTCGAACGTTTTTTCAGTTTTTCCCTCCCTGATGCAGCAAACCTAAGTACTTGTTAAACTAATTCTATTTAAATCAAGAATAAATGTTATAATTTTAAGTAGACATTTCAGTGTAGATCCAATCAGTCAAATGGAAATTCGCTTAGTCTGCAGGTTTGCTGCGGCGGGGGTATTTTTTAAATATGACTGTAAAATGCCATTGGCACTCAGAAAAAATCCACAGTTGCGTGGTGAAAGGGCGGCAAAGTCAGGACTTGCCTCCCCCAAGAAAAGTGTGTAGCTGTGGCCCTGTTTACAGTACACCATCGCTTAACTAACTCTCATGAGAACTGAGCCTAGGTCAGATAACATAAAAGGACGATTGGAACAGGAAAATAAGTAAATATTAACAAAAATGATCCGATTTCGATTAAATTTGGTACAAACCTGTAAACAAACATTTATCAAGTGCCTGAACCATAGCTTGATCGGACTGTGGGCACGGGGGTTTATGGGGTAAAAATTGTTTTTCCCCATTTTGAGCCTAAAAACATAAAATTTCCTAATATCTTTCTAAACCAATTTGTAGAGCTTTAAAACAGAAATAATTTTGTTTGAAGCATTGTTGTATGCCTAACGGTTACAGAGATATAACTTAAAAAATTGTAAATTTAAAGTATTCTCATATTATTTTTATGAAGAATAAATAAACATGTTTTCTAGTTCCTTTCCTGTAGCAGCAAACCCAAGTGCTCATTAAATAGTTATTTGTGTAACTAGTGGTGAAAGTGGCACTTTGCTGCACACGAGAGCAATGTTTACGCACGAGCCGCAGGCGAGTGCGGAATGATCTCGAGTGCAGCAAAGGCCTTTTTCACTCGTGTTACACATTATATTTTTCCTACAGTCACTATAAAACATAAATAATTAGTCTTTCAAACACTATACAACACGTTTTTAGGTTCAGCTAGCAACACAATTACACAAATGGTGCCCTGGAGAAAGTAGTACCCGTGGTCCGTATCACTCCGCTATTTTTCCTCGGCAAGAAATGTGCTCCGTCTTTTGAGAATATAGTTCCGTATGTTTTTGTAATTTGAAGTGGTTTCCGCGCCTAAAAAAAATGCTTTAAAGGTATTTTCTTGTTTATTAAGACCGTAGGAATGTTTTAAAAACGTTTATAAAAGAAAAGTCCAGAAAGTTCAGAAATACCAAAACTATAAACACGAAATGACAGGTTAAATCGTAGTTATAATAGTCAATCAGCTGTTCATAGTATTATTATCTTTAAGTATTGCCAACCTATTTCCAAGCGTACACGGATTACGTGCATAATAAAACCACGCTGTTTTGTGTTGTTTGGTTGGAATCCTGATGTGCGGCAAAGTATAAACCGTGCGGCAAAGTATAAACCGTACGGCAAAGTATAAATATGCAGCAATTAGCAGCTTTCTGTACTATAAACAGTACAGGGAAGCCAACTTTGTCGGGTGACTGTAGGAAAAATAATGTTATTTAAATAGAAAATAAATCTGCAAATTTTAAAGGAATATTTTTGTATAAATCCAGCCACAGTGGAAATTCACTTAGTCTGTAGGTTTGCTGCGGTGGGGGTATTTTCTATATTACATAAAGAAAAACTATATTTATCTAAACAGTCTGCCAATTAAGGCAATTTTTCCTTAAGGCTCTTGGATAAAAAATTTTTTTCATCTATTTTGAAATCATGCTAATCAGTGCCATCAAACCTGAAAAGTGATGTTCATACTCAATTGTATGAGAGTTGTAAACACGACAGACTTTAGGACTGCAAGCAGATGATTTATCAGAACAGTTCGTTCTTGGATTGTACCAGCTCATCTTTTCTTTGCTCGATATGTTCTACGCACAGGCCTCTGAAAGTCATGTAGACAGGTCAATGAGGTTGCAAACGTCCTATAAAGAAAATTATTGGAATCACCATATTTTTATAGATTTAAGAATAATGTTAGATAATTATTACCAGACATTTTAAATAGAAGCTGATAATTATACCTATTTGAGAAAGGTAAACATTTAACCAGCTCTCTTGATTTATTTCTCAGAATTTTTATTCACTCAATTGTGTCTGTCCTGTAGGGAGACTCAGGAGATGTAGGTTATCCTGGATTGCCTGGACCTCCTGGGGACTCAGCTTTCAGTGGGCTTCAAGGAGACGTTGGCGAACCTGGTGAGTAAATACAAATGTCAATTATCATTATCATTATTAGATGGGGACACCACCTAGGTGTGTATTTAAACCCAAATATGAGTGAAGGACGAGTGTGGAATGCTGTGAGGTGATCTGTGTAACTTTGTTACTGACTAAGATCAGCTGTTTCATCAGTCAGGATCATTTGTTTAAAGCCCATTGCTCAGGGACAGCTGGGTCCATTTTTAAACCTCATGTTCAACCTTAGCAAGCTATCAGAGCTATCTTAAAACCAAACAACTTAACTTTGAAAAATCACATTTTAGGTGAGTGCATAGCGCTCGTCCAACAATCAGAAGGCCGTCTGTTCGATTCTGATAAAAGTCAGTAGAAGTTAGCTACAGTAGTTGACCATTTGGCTTTTGGGAAATGGTCCTGGGTAAAGATCCATGTGATATTATTCAGTTAGGTACAAAGCTGTCATCGCAACCATTCTACACTAACCTTTGCCCTAAAATATGCACCCTTGTGTGTTTATTTATTGATTTTATTTTACTCGGCAAAGTAGACAATAGTTTAAATCTAAGTTGTTCCATTTTTGCTCAGGTTACCCCGGACCAATAGGCTACCCAGGACAACCCGGAATGGATGGAATGCCAGGACTACCGGGAGATGATGGAGTTATCTATGCAGGAGCTACGGGAGTTAAAGGAATGAAGGGTGAACCCGGATACTACGGACTACCAGGACAGGATGGACTAAATGTAAAGCTGTAAAATATACATTACATGTTATCACTTATTGTGTACGTACTCTCTTGGTAATTTGTAAAACTTAGAGTGTCAGTGTAAAATGAGTTTTTATAGAAGTTATTCAACAGATCAACTGGTTGATGATTTCATTTCAATGAGGCATTGACTTTGTAAAAAGTTGTTATGCTAAGTAGGCCTAGCAATGATTGCAGTTTAGGACAAATATTTCTTAACCATATTACGTGAATGGATTTGATTTTAATCACGATTAATGAGCTAATGTAACTGATTATAACCTGTGACTTTAGGGAACTCGAGGAGATTTTGGACCCAAAGGACCTAAAGGGATCCCAGGAGATGACGGCTATGCTGGATTCCCCGGACAAAAAGGAAGAGCAGGACTACCAGGATTTAAGGGACTTCCAGGAGGAATAGGAAAACCAGGATTTAATGGATCGAAAGGGGGGCAAGGCATGGAAGGTGATCCAGGCGAAATGGGTTTTCCAGGTAACTTATTTTTTTACCCTAGGAATTTAATGACAAAACACTTTCTTCAGTAAATAAACTACAAATCAATAAAATATCTATCCATCTATCCGTCTTCTCCCTAAACATCCTTTTTATTGCCCATCCTACTTAACCAAACGCCCCCCCCCCCCCTCCTAAAGTTTGGTTTATTTCTAGAGTTCACTTTCAATGATCCAGTGGTGCTGACCAACTTTCTTAACGGTTTTAAATGTGAATTGTAATTTAATAACAGCTTATCTTTTAGTTTAATGTTTAACCACAGTCAGATACTGTAAGTAAACAAATATACCGTTATATACTGTATTATTTTAAAAGATGAGACTGAGTGCAAAAGGTGAATTAACTGTCTGTAAAGTAAATGGTGTTTTGCCCTTCAGGTCTGCCTGGAGATGTGGGCGACAGAGGTCCTCCGGGACTCACAGGTCCCAAGGGTCCCAAAGGATATGTTGGGGACCCTGGAGGTCCGAGATATTCAACAGCACCCAAGGGAGACTTAGGAGAACCAGGACTCAACGGACTTCAGGGGAAAAAAGGACCTCAGGGAGACTATGGCAATCAAGGATACATCGGGTTTAAGGTGATTGGTAGAATAGATAAAGATATCAACCAGTGCAACCGGCCTATGATCAATTTGCAAATAAATTTGAAGTGTAGGCTAATATGCGTTTTTTTAGAGGAAGAAACAGAAAAGGAATCAGTTAATTATAATTAAATAATTAAGAATACATAAGAGTATACACATTTGATCTTTAATGTTTCCCAACCTTTCATGATGAAAACTTCACACCCTTTGAAAGCAGCAAAATTTTTAAATGAACAACATGTGATCATATGATTATTTCAAACTTGTTCATTACTTGCTTCGTGGCAAAGTAATTCAATAACAAAACAGACACCTATTTTTGAAATGGTTGAGAGTTGATTCAATCGTCAACACTCAAGTTAACCAACAAAAGGATAAATAGTAAACAATAGTAAACAAAGACAATCACAATATGGCGTTGACTCAAATAGATCACTTTTAGCCGAGAGAGGAAGAAGAAAGTGCAGTCAACCGTAGTTTTGGTTGGATGACTAAACTGTCAATCGTTTGAAAACTATGAAACGATTTGAAAAAGAGTGACTCAACGATCAACTAATTCAAAAATAGGGCCCCTGTAAACAATTTCAACCCTAAACTTTTTTAAATCATTCACTATCATATTCACAATGTCAAGAACTTATTTTTTAAGTGGCACGTGGATTCTATTTCTTCAATCCAATTTAGTACTCCACCAAATTAAAATTGTGTTAGCCTAATATAGAATAGAATTTTCATAACATACACATTTCTAGAATGTTGTTGTAATGTTGTAATGATGATTATTGAGGACATTTCCAATTACGATTAATAAAAAACAACTTTTTACGACTAAGAAACAAAAACCCTAAAGCAATCATAATGAAAACGTTTGCATAAGGGGGACTGAGGTTGTGTCCGTCCAGCAAATAGGAAAAGCAATCATGACGGGGAATGGGAATGGCGTCCACTGGAAGACCTGATCAATCAACATGTAGGAGTGATGTACAAAGCCACATACAAAGTTTTTACTAAAATAGTTATCTGAGTATATTTTCTTCAATGAATTTCCAGGGAGTGTTTATATTACTTTACCACCTGAGGATGAGATTATAGGTTCCAGATCCCAAAACGTTCTACAAACTTGCTTTTTACTAATTGTCATAGTGAAAATGTCCATATAAACTTATCATAAAAAAAGTACTTCAAAATAAGGATTTCTAGTATTTATTTAAGAAACTAGATTGTTTTGTAAACTTCCGTCTGATATTCTAGGGTGACCGAGGTGACTTTGGGGAGCCTGGGCTTCCTGGCCCAAAAGGTTTCCCAGGTCGTGAGGGAGCTCCGGGAGATCAAGGACCTCCGGGAGGTAAGGAAACTTAATGTAGATGAGTAACACAAAATTATCTTAAACACATCTGACATAATACATACCAATTAGCTCAATCAGCTAATAAAGGGTGACATTTCAGGGATATTAAAATCCAGTACCGATACTTTGAAAATAGGTACAACTTACATCCACCATTTCAAAAGCCAATTCTGTTCTTGTCAAAGAATAAACTAACAAATATATTCTTTGCAGGTTTTTTTGTGAATATTTTGAAATATTGTTGTAAATACATGTTGTACAATGGGATATCTCAGTCAGAAAATGACATTTTCCGGGGCTCACTCAATATTTTAATTTGAAGCGAAGCCCAGGTCATTTAAGTTTTGCCTTGCATGGGAAAAAAGGAGCAAGCACCGTATCAGAAAAGCACTTTTTCACTACACTACAGTGAAATGACATGTTATCATTACATGTTAATCACTTGCAAAAATTCATCATTACATTGTTTACCATTACCACTTAAAAGAATGTTTACAATGCAAAAGTAATGTTTACTTTTTTTATTTTGCCAATGTAAACAAATATACGTTATTGTTTCATCAACTGTCAATTTGCAACAACCAAAACTGTACAATCAATGTACATTATAACCTTAAAATGAAGACTTAACCTGAAAATGCCCTCAGTTTTGTAATGCTCCTAACCGTGATAAAGAAATATATTCAATGTCTGTTTAATTAAGAAAATAATTAATCATTGTAGTCTAGTGAAAAGTATCGATCATAACACGGGTGGAAGTGGATCATTACATATTATCAACCATATTTAAATAGGTTGATAAATCTCACACTTCAAACATGGTATCAAATATTTCATTAGGTAGTGACTTTCTACTCTTGTTATGAATTATACTAATTGGACCAGGTTGTGAACAAATCATTTTATCAATTTTAAATTAGGTTATTTTTAAATTAGGCTGGCCGGTATGACGGTTCCACACACAAACGTTGCCAGTGCTCGATTTGTAAAAAATGGGTGCTGAAACTGTTACCTAATTAAGGTGATTAGTACCTATTTATGCTGACCTAGTTATATACTTCACAGTTCTACTATATAATTTGTCCATTACTTAAACTGTCCTTCATGTAATATAACCAAACACACTTTTCCAATGGGGCTTGCTTACCATAATTTTTTCTTGGTAAAAATCAGCAAGTGTTATGACACTTAAGTAATTGAGTAAAAGACTCTAAGAGAGACAAATGAAATTTTGTTTCAGCTTACCCCCCTCCGTCCGGAATTATTTTACGAGGAGAGCCTGGAGAGCCAGGGATAGACGGGATACCAGGGCGTCCCGGATGGTCGGGACAGAAAGGGGCTCCTGGGGAGTATGGCAGGGATGGACCAGATGGAATACCAGGACCTAAGGGATACAGTCCTAGAGGACCAAAGGGTTTCAGAGGAGAACCAGGTGAAGTACATCTTGATAATTGATTATAGTAAGTCTTCAAACTCTGTGCAAGAGAGCCTGTTGTGTTATGCTGAGTTATAGCATGAATAAAATAATTAAATATAGACTGACAGCAGTGCTGCGGTTAGCATATATTCTGGGGTTCACAGCTCCGTCAAGTAGTTTTGGCGCACACCACTACAGCGTTAAGCAGTAGCGAGCATTGCCATAACAACTTGGTAGTCGGAGCCAGTGTTGCCAACTTCTCGGGAATTCCCTGGGATCCGGGGAGTTGAAGTTTGTTTTGTTATTTTTCGAGTTTATAAAATTCAGAGATTAAAAAAAATGTCTTTTTTGTTAAAATTACGTGATTGAAGAAATTTTGTGCTTTACCCATATTGAACAGTGTATCTGATACGTTGGTAGCAGTTCGTTTGCAAGGGTGGTAATGCTGCTAGCAGATGGCGAGTCGACGGCGGCAGCGAATCGACTAACACTGAGCACACTATAACGGCACATTGGGGAACCTTCCTTTGTCAGTCTATTTTTAACTCTTTTGACTATGGTTATAGGTACATAGATAGAAACAAATCGACTTTTAAAAATACAGTGTACCTGTTGGAAATGTTTAACTTAGTCTCCTATGGATTATTTTTGAACAACACTTTGGGAAAACCATGTTATTAGTTTTCAATTTACATATGTCTGAATAATGATATAATTGTGTTTTTATTAGAAATATAATAAACAAAATGTAACTTTTAAAACTGGTTTAATTAATTTTACAAGAAATCTTTTTAATTTCAGAGTTTGGTTACAGTACCATTAGAATTAAAAATACGGACAAAGTTGACCTGTTTATGTAAAAAAGGGACCCATGGTAAATTTAAACCACCTCTAACTGAAAAAGTTATAGTACATGAAGAGATATTTTTTGACTGAATTTGTTGTGCAGGATACACAATCCCAGGAACTCCAGGATTGATGGGTGCTCCGGGGCTGGATGGACTTCCAGGATTACCCGGAAATAAGGGGTTACAGGGAGAACCAGGATACTCACTGACAAGGTAATTCAATTTATACTCTAATTTTTCTGGTAGATTGAAATGTAGGTTCATTGTGGATAGTAGCCTCCGGATTGCCAAATAATATTAAAAAGGTTTAAATACCTGCTATAAAGCAATCCATTTAATTGCAGTTGCAAAAAACTTTAAGTAAGTAAATCAGCAAGTAAATCAATCCAGCAAGAAAAGCAAGGTTCGAATATAATCTTCATGCGTAAAAAATCTATAAATCTTATGACAAAAACAATATTACAGTCACCTTCAGAATAGAAAACAAACTTGGCTCATTGTTAAAGGAGCGCAGTCCTTCATTGACGCAACCTTTGGACAGATCTGGCGTATATAAGATCAATTGTACCGAGTGTACTAAATTTTACATCGGCCAGACAATGTACAACACATTGTCACGCATATTGTCACATCGGCACGCTCCTTTACAAAACGTTTCAAGGAACATCTCCCAAAAGTGTCAACAGTACACCAGACATCATCTTTTGCAGAACATTTAATTTCCCAAGGCCACAATTATACCAGCATTAGTAACAACATGAATATTTTACATTTCTCTAGAGACAGATTTAAATTAAACACCTTAGAAGAGTTTGAGATATATAAGGCAGTAACATCCGACCACGAAAATGTGCTAAATGACCAACTAACGTTTTCGTCCAATTTTATATATGACACTGCCATAAGGATACTGGAGAGTGGAGGTGTGTTAGACAGGACTAGGACGTAACCTGAGGTGATAAGATAACGGACGTACACTACTGCAATGTCCACCCGCAGTCTGGACTTAAACTCCGCCGGGTTAGCGTCGTCTGTTGTCGTAACTGATCAGTAAATGTTTTGTGTCTTGTGTAAACGTTTATTTATTTTTACGTGTTAAATATGACGCTCTTCATGTGAAGAAAGAAGAAGTCCTTGTGCCGCCTGAAGGTGACTCCACATAGGAGTCGAAACTAGTTGCAACTGAAATTAAATGGATTGCTTGATAGCAGGTATTTAAACCTTTTTAATGAAATGTAGGGGTTGGTTAAAGGCGGGTCTCAGTTAAATGCATTTTGGTACCTTGCTTTAGGAGTAGCTCAACCATGTTCTATTTCTCTAAAAGAATTGCTACAGCTGGTCTATATGGATAGGACACCTGCCTTGGTATTTGAAGATCAATGCTAAAAGTTTCTATTTCATAATAGTTTTAGTTGGTATTTTCAACTCTTTATTTTTTTTTAATAGATCTATGAATATTATGATAGCGATCTTTCAATGGATGACAGTATCGATATTGATTTTACTTCATTATAAACTAAACCATTCCAATATTCATCACTGTATAGATCCGTGCCACTCTCACCTGATCAAATATTAGCTCACCCTGTCTGCTGCAACATCCAGGGTGGGGGAAGTGTGCACATTTTTTTATTCAGTCTATAGGTTACTTTACTGACTTCAACTAAACTTTCGTTTGGACCATTCAAATAAAATCTTCCTTCAAAACAGAAACTATTACTTGTGGTAGTCAGGAACTACAAAATGTCTCAGCACCTTTAGCTGCATGCGTACTAGTTTTGACCATTGATACAACCAGACATTCCATCCCCATGTTAAAGTTGTTAATGTTAAACCATCCCCTGTTTTTATAACAAAATTAACACATTTTAAAAATCAAAACTAAAACAAGAAATTAAAGTGAAAAATATTAATCATAATATGTTTCAGTCCAAAGGGTATTCCTGGAGATGAAGGCCTGACAGGATTAATCGGAGATTATGGACCGAAGGGAGACAAGGGTGACGCTGGATTACCCGGACGCCCAGGTTCTCCGGGAGTAGACGGATTCCGAGGACCTCCGGGTCTGGATGGAAACCCGGGTACACCTGGATTCCCAGGCCTCAAGGTCATTAACTATCCTGGTTTCACCAAAACCATCTCAATTATATATTGAATCCTCAATTAATCTATAAGAAAGCTAATTAAGCATCGCAAACATTTAAGAAAACTGTAAGCCTCACACCTATCAACCGGTTGAATGAAAGGTCTCAATGTGAAACTTCCCCGAAAAATATCAGTTTTTTGATAAACTCTCTCTCCAAGGGCACGAAACCGAACCTCGATTAAAGGGCTTTATATATTCACATTTTAAATATTGAAGATGCATCAGCTGTTAGATTTGTTCTTATTTATAGTTTTTGTTTGTTTACTTTTTTCTTGGGTTATGGATGTTTGCATTACGATAAAGTTATTAGTTTTGATTCTGACAAACAGGTTAATGCAAATTGCAAATACATGGTTTTTCATTAAATAAGCTTAATATTAATATTGATTGAGCTCTGTCTGTATGATCCTTGGTAAGTGTGTAAGCCTAAATCTACTGTTTTTTTACAGTATATTTAGAGACCACATTATTCTCTAAAGTATTCATACTTGCCCCGTTGCGAAGCACTAGCAGAACAACTAATAAACTATTACAAGTAATTTATTGTTAAATTACTTTATTAATTTAATTTATTGATAAATAATGTAATTTATTGAGTTTAACCCTTTGAGCTCCAACTTCTAATAGTAATAAACCTAGTATGCAAGACTAACATAACCAAACTTCTACTTACAACTATCCATTAAAGTGTAACTCAACAAAAATGGCTTGGATCTATATAGGCGAATGACATGTGCCACAAAGTTAGAATCAAGTTTAAAACTAATACACTTGGATTTCATTAGTGATGTTGAATTTAGTAGACCAATTAGTAGGTGTAATAAATGACTAATTGGTATTATATTACCTGTCATTGGTACCAAATTGCAACATTCAACATGCTACACGTTTGGCAAGCTGCCAATTTCAACCACTATACAGTCCAGGAATAAACGTGACATCCGCTTGGATAGCTATGTTGATGCTACACGACACATACATTTAACACGCAACATATAAATAAATACTTTTTGTTAGATAGGTCTATGACGGGTACGCAACATTGCTGTTACACAATCGGGAACAGACATTTGCACAGACAAGAGAAGATTGCATTGAAGAGAATACATGAGTTATCTACCTAGTTTTTCAAAAAGTTACTCTGTTTAAAAATATATGTAGGCTAGGTAAAAGATGCCACATCAGTACTTAATTTTATATTCAGAAGTTAAAGAGTAATTGATGTGTTATTTTTACAACAGGGCCATAAAGGAGACCAAGGCGAGACTCCGTACTATTTTGAGGACGCATTGAGAGGATATCCTGGAGACAAAGGAGATGATGGAATACCAGGTAATTGAATAATACCAGCTCCTTGGTGTGATTCGTGGTCTGTTAGGGCAAAACACACCTGTTCAGGCCGGCTTTTAAAAACGGGGAGACTGGGCATATGCCCACTGCCCAGGACCACCAGCGGTTTGGGGGCGACCGCTGGGTGTCCCCCAACCACCGCCCGCCCGCACTAGGGAAAAAGGGAGCGCTGCTTTTGGGTTTGCCCAGGGCTCCACTGACTTTTAACGTGGCCCTGCACCTTTTTACATGCCCCAGTATATTAGTAAAATCTGATTTGCATTATTTGCATAAACTACAATTGATTACAAACCAAAAAGTCATACAAGCGATTGGAATGAGGTTGGACGATTGATCAAAATGTTTACAACCATCAGATTGAAAGGCTGCATGACTGGTGTGTATATGTATAGGTATGTACAGCTGCTGACACATAGCCTAAATCAGTGTTGTCACTCAACAGTTTACTGTATTCTGCAGTACATGACCGATTCTTACACATTTTAAAACAAACTCATAGTCATGTCCCGGAGTTTGATTTTTTTGGGGCAAATAAAAAAAACTACTCTGATCACAATAAAAATGATCTTGCTATACAACTGAAGTGGAAATGTTTTTAAAGTAAAAAGAGAAGTAAGTCTAAAAGCAAATCCTTTGGTAATTTATTCTTGCTAACAGAGAATAAAATATGATAATAGTACTTCCTTCAATGACCATAACAGGTACTGGCATTTGCAATTGCTAGGAAGGTTTCAGGGAAAATATTGTAGTGCAAAACATTGTTTAAAACTTCTCAATATAGTGTCTAGTATTACGGAATATTTAATTAAAATTTCAAATTACATTTAAATAAATAAAAGACAGCTTTCATTTATTACTATATTGTTTGAAGAAGCAAAAAATATGTAATTAATTTGAAAACCTCTAATGCCCAAATCAAATAATTTACCAGGATACCCAGGACCTCCTGGACAACAAGGACTGCCAGGTCTGAACGGACTTAAAGGAGTTCGAGGGGACATAGGATTCCCAGGACCTCAGGGCTTCTCGGGTTTCCCAGGAAAGAAGGGAGAGAGAGGTTTCCCAGGAAATCCTGGGCTTAGCGGTTTACCTGGAGAGTTGGGTAAATAATTTTTCTAGCTAAGGTTTAATATAAGTTAAATTGTTGTGTGTTGTAAATGGGCATTTTAAAATCATATCAGCATTAACATATTTCATCTCCATAGCAAAGGCTCTCTCAGGAAATGAGCGGGTATTATTTCAAATGTAACTTATCAACTTATTGGTTGTAATCGGTGAGTCATCGGTGGTCGGTGAAGTAAACCCTATAAAATCTATAATCTGCCGGTGAAATTATGGGTCTGTTCATACTAAACATCTTGGTTGTAACTGTATAACATGTATTTAGCTTGCTTACTATATTTTTTTGTTTAAGGGTAATCTACAGCTTGGTTAATCCACTCGTAGATATTCGGAAGTCTACTGGAATTTTACTTTAGGAGCATGCCGTGTTGTTTCTTATCTAGCAAACTACATTAAATACAATAACTACTCTATTTATTATGGCAATTATTATAGTTTACTTAATCAATTAATAGTCTATTGTTTGAAAATGGAACAAACAACTGTTGATTACCAATCCACGTTAACAACATTAATGTTGTAAATAAAAATTCAAATGAAATAAGTAGTGTGTACTAAATGGTACAGCAATATATTCCAGTTGGTACCAGCAATTTATTTATTGATACAGCAGACAACTCTTAATTCAATTTATGATAATCTATTGGTTACATTCCGCAGGTAGGGCAGGAGAGCCGGGTATTCCAGCAAAACAACGCAAGGAACCTCCTAATAGAGGCTTCTTCTTCACCTTCCACTCTCAGTCCGATCTTATCCCGGAGTGTCCTACGGGAACCAAGATGATGTGGGGAGGTTACTCCTTGCTGCACTTCATGGGCAATGCTCACGCCCACGGACAAGACCTAGGTAAACTCACTGTTTCACTAGTCACAAGTTTTCAAGAGTTTTGTTTTTATAATTGAGAAGTATTCAGAAAGTCACCTGAGTGTTGAAAGTTCATTCTGAGAGAGTTCAGTATCCTTTGAATGGTTCAAAACTCCTGTCCTTGGCCGTTGGGCTCTCCATAAATGGTCCTGACTAAACAAAAATCAGTCTGGTCTTTTTCTTTTAAATAAAAAAGCTACAAAAGACATTTCACTTCATCCTACAATAATCTTTCAATCCATTCTGATTACAAAACATTGTGCTACCATCTCAACAATATGATATAAGAATTTTTACTGGGATAACAGGATTATCTATGAGATAAGAGTCCATTCACCAGAGACACAAAACAATTGCATACTAAAAAGTTGGATATTTCACGATAACTGACAGAATGTTCAACTATCATTAACCATACAAATGTAAGATAATTTCTTGCTCCAAAGATGGATTGCTGCAAACTTTCATCAGTTTGAGAAAATATGCATAATTTATTAATTATTGTTTTGATTCAACATTTTGCTAATTCATTGTCATGCATCGGTTTTCTCATAACCTTCCCTTTTTACCTTGCAAGTGTCCGACTAGTAACATGACCTCTTGCTCTCAGGTGCTCCGGGCAGTTGTCTGCTAAAGTTCTCTACAATGCCATTCCTGTTCTGTAACCTTAACGAGGTATGTGACTACGCGAGTCGCAGCGACTACAGCTACTGGCTCTCCACTGAGGAGCCTATGCCTATGATGATGATGCCAATACCTTCTGCTGAGATGACTAGATATATCTCTAGGTTAGTGCAACCGTATACACCAGTTAAAAGACTTATTATTACTTTTTATAACAAATACCAATTTTTAAGAGCCACAAAAAATAGACAGAATTAGTAAAGCACAACTGTTATATGCTAGCACTCTTATTTGACTTATCCCTTTTTGTAAACAACAACTTCCTGGTCTACAATGTGTAACGGGTCAAATTTGTAATGGGGGGAGGGGGGGTAAAATCAGACCGTACTGTAACCAGGTTAAACTATTAAAGACCTCAGTTTACCTGGTGTTGGCAGAGAGAAGTATTTATTTTATTAGTTGATAAAATATTGTTAGACACAGAACATCCTTTATTAAATTAACAGCTAGACATCGGCTGCTGGCTGGTATATGACAACTAGAACTAACTAGTCTTGTTCCTTAGAACTTCGTCAAGTCATTGTATGCAACCACATCATCAATGTATTAATACATCGTGGTATGTCAAAATATCCTTTAAAATACTGCCAAAACCAAAATAGTCAAAACTAGTCATTTAAATGATTAAAATGGAAAAGTTTTACCAAAAAGTTTCAAGCTTGATGTTAAAGAAGAATTCACAAAGTATACAAAGTTAAAAAACTCGACCCATTAAACATTTTAAATGATGAGACTTCTTTTCAGTCAAATATTATAATTGATAGATATATTGACAAGCTACAAATCATAGAAGTATAAAATAGAAGAACAAAACAAACTGAAATACAGGTGGCACTGGTGAGAAGAAGACACCTAATGATTCAGTCAGTTTTATTTAGCCAGTGACAGTGATAAGACAGTGCTGGCCAGCCTTTACAGTTTTAACCAGTTTTATCACTTTTTATGCCATTTTAATCATTTAATCAACATGACTAGTTGAACTATGGTGGTTTTGACAGTATTTTAAAGAATCTTTTGACATACCACAATGTTGTTCATGTTGTTCAAAGGTTTATTGCAGACATTTTCCATCACGATTGTAAAAAACAATACACAACGTCGGGATCTGGAATCTGATCTCATCCTCAGGTTAAAAAACTTAACGAACACATTACAACTAACAATACACAAACGCTCAACCTAAGTTGGAATACACTACAGAAGGTAGCAGTCAAAAATATGCACTGTATAGCAGTCAAGTCATGATACAACATGCAAATAATAACCAATCACGAAACACTATAATCTATAAAAGGTGTAACGTAAAAAGCTCACACAATGGAACACTAATAGCACCGTTCGCAATGACTCCACCAATGAGACTGATGCAATATGGCCGACCAATCGGAAACACGGAGACAACAGAAATGGCTTCCGGTCCCTGGAAAAGTAAAACCAACAAAATGGCGGAGTGATGTACGATGTCGCAAGTTGGGTGTTAATTCTGTTTATTCCTATCACGAGTTTTACTACGAGTTAAGATAACGTGCAAATTTTGAGGAGAACTCGTTATTTCCCTATTTATTGAACAATTAAGTTCCCTATCCTTTAGTTCCTTGTTCAAAATGGGTAGCCAAAGTGGCCTGATTTCAACCGATGACTGACTGATTGGTTGAGTACCACAATGTATTAATACATTGATGATGTGGTTCCATACAATGACCTGACGAAACTAGTAATATACCAGCAACTGTGGTTGGATAAGGTAAAGGTAATCCTTTTATTTTATCAAAATCATGGTTTTCCAAGTTTAGAGCAAAAGTGTGTAGAAAATTGTAATTACAATTGTAAGCCCGTTTCAGATGTGCCGTGTGTGAGGCTCCTACCAGGGTGATTGCGGTCCACAGTCAGTCCATGTCCATTCCCCCTTGTCCTGCCGGATGGGAGGAATTGTGGATTGGATACAGCTTCATTATGGTAAGCATCTATGGATCAACAAACTGGTTTGAAATTTCTATAGCGTTTTATATTAAACATACAAACATTTTTGTAAAGATGTGTGGCAATATTTTTATTCGAAAACTGGTTCATATAAGTAAAATTAAAAATAGAAAAATAATTTTATTTTATTTGTTCTATTAATGGTATTGAAAATACAACGTTCAAAAATACAAACACATTCTTGTGTCAGGAGGGACTTTTTTCTGTTTAGGTTTGTTGTCATCTAAAAGTAAGCCTTTAAAATCTAGGTTCTTGTGTTCTTTGTGAAATCATTAACCTGTTATATACTACATTATAACCTATGTTTTGCAGCACACAGACGCAGGCGCTGAAGGCGGAGGACAGTCTCTTGTCAGCCCTGGCTCATGTCTAAAGGACTTCCGACCAACACCGTTCATCGAATGTCACGGCACCGGCCGATGCAACTACTTCACCACAGCCTACTCTTACTGGCTAGCAACCATAGAGGAGAGGTGAGACCGAATAGAATCTCTAGTGGTTACAACAATTCATATTTAGTCTGTTCAGTTATTTTTTTTATTATGTTTTAACACATGAAGCTAAAAAACCAAAGATCATGAACATTAAAATTTGGTTTCTTTGATCTGTTTGTATTGTATGAGACTTTTTCAGCCGACAACAAAATTTGAACTAATGTAAAAATGAATAAAAGAAAAGTAAAAGTAAAATATGAATGATTGGTAATACAAAAGGACGATAAATAACTCAACCGCGACTGGATTTATTCCAAATTAAATTAAATAAACATGCTCAAGTGTATGAAAGAAACAGTCAGGTAAACATCTGAACCTGTTAGTTTAATCACTTCACTCAGAAAGTGACATACTTTGTGTATATATTTTAAACAGAACATAAATGCATAATAGTATAGGATGGAGTGGATGCACTGTGTGGTTTCATTACTAAGATCAACTGTTTCATTAGCCAGGATCATTTATTATAAGCACAATGATCAAGGACAGCTGGGTCCAGTTTCAAACCATCAAGATTGACTTTTCTAAGGATAAAGCTTGCGATCTTATTGTTAGATCTTCTCGTTGTTCTTGGTCAATAATAAAATACCTTTCACGTTAAAACTAACACTCCCACCGCAGCTAAATTGTGAAAAACCTATTTTTACCCCATAAAGACCCCCATACAACCCCGTTCCCATGGTCCAGACATGCTGGATTGCAAACTCGTTTGAATAAACGTAGGTTAACAGTGTTAACATGTTTGTACCAAAATTCATTAAATTCGCATAGCTTTTACTCGAGTTGTTGCGCTAACGGACACACACACCATATATATGAATTTGAACAGATGGTGTTTTTGACCTCTGAGGACATTGAACGAAAAAGTAAATTAGTCCTAGATCTTACCATGAGAGCTACAGTAACAGCTTATTCCCTACATGGGAAATTTGCTAAAAGACAGTGATTCATGATTTAACTTGTTTCAGGGATATGTTCCGCAAGCCCCGACAACAGACGTTGAAGGGTAACACGCTGCAGTCTCGTATCAGCAGATGTTCTGTATGTCTACGCCAGAGACAGAGTAAGAAAGCTCCAAGTAGACTACAGAGTTGGAACACCAGAACCAACACCAAATACTGGCCTCGGCCTCGGCCCAACTACTAGTCATTGTACCAACCCGACAAACGCTAAACTGTGTGATAGCTGAGTGAAACCTCCTCGTGACAGTCGTGAAAGCTCAAGCACCCTGGGACGGTTCATATTTTGACTGTCATCACTAACAATTTGATTTAGCTTACAATCATATTTTTACATTGTTCTGAGTTATTTGGTTTGAAATTTGTAACTAAACGTAGAGAGATCAAATGTCTATAATGTATGGAAATTTTTTTAGTTCCCACCAAGTCAAATTTCCCTCATATGTAGAATTATTTTGGTATGTAAATCAATGTAACTAGATTTGATTTTCATGTAGTAATTATAAAGTTATAACGTCTTAGGGCTTGTTTGAATAAATTTTGAATATTTTGTAATGATTAACTATAAGACATTTAAATGTAATTTTGTTAGCTGATTTAGTGTTTTTATTGCTTGGAGGAGTCTTTACTAGGTCTATATTTATAATAATTGTTATTGAGTGTTAGTGTTTTACGAGTAATATTAACAGTGTATAAAGTGTCATATTTATAAGTTAATTACCATATAAAGTTACTGAGAATGTCTATTGTATTGTAAATAAAATGTATTAAAACAAATTAAAATTGTAACTTAAGCTTAGTGGTCGTAGACAGTCTAAGAGAAACACTGCCACTGTAATATAGGATAAAGGACCAATGTTTTATAAATAAACGTAGAAAGACTTTGTCATAGTAAAGTATATAACCTTTATTCATAACATATATGACTTAATAACACATACATATATGACACTTAAATTACAATAAAATATCTCATCTAAAAAAGTAAATTTGTAAATTCGATCTACAAAGTGATCTTAAAATAATAAATAATAAAACAGTTCTGAATAACTAAAATCAATAAGATGATGATGATGACGATGATCATTTATCGGTTGTCTTCTATGTAGTGATTATACAAGGGTAACGACATATTCTGTACATCTACTTTACAAAAGGCAGGACATATGAGCATGGAGTGGTTGAGTCCATTGCACTAGATGTATATCACAAATTCATTAGTAGCGTGGTCCGAGATGGTTTCATTTTGCAAACCCTGGTTTAAGTTCGATTGTGTCATCAAACTGCATGTGGTTGTCAATGATCTGGAATAGCTCTGGGGGTTGGGGGATTCTACCGGTCTCTAGTTTTGACCACACTGGCATGTCTGCAACATACAACATGTATATTGTATAAACTGTATATCAGATTCACTTAACTCAAAATGAAAGCCAATGGTGCTAGGTCGGTAAGTTAGATTAGACATGCAGATTGTTGGAAAGAATATGATAAAGTCGTTGAATGTGTTTTCCATTAAAACCACCATTTCTATTTTGAAACCATCATCGAAAATAAAATTGAAAACCTTACAATATAAAAACACCACTACAAAATGTCCATTCAGCCATAGTTGTCTGTTCGTACTGTGACTAAGACATGAGGAATAGCAGAGAATAATTTTAGTGGTGCAATTTTTAGTAGTAGTACCGGTAAAAGTCATGTAGAATCTAATATGAAAATCTCGCTGTTGTTTAATTTTTGGTCAATTCAAAACTTAAAATTGATTTCTAAAATTGTTTACACCAAAGTTGCAGAAAATTTATGATCATCTCTCACAATCTCAGCAAATTTGAAGTCATCTCCTTAGATCAAGAGGTTCTCCTTCCTAAATCACTAATTTATTTGAATCAGGTGTGAAAAACAAAAATAATGGTTCCTAAATGTTCACAATTTTACTAGGGCAGGTAAAAAAGCTCCCTTAACTAAATTTCTATTATAGATTGACTCCCAAATTTTGAATCTTGAGTCTAGCTTGTTCGATCAACATCACTTAAGTGAATGGGTTTGCTAACCAATGATTACTTACCGTTTAGCGAGATTTCAAAAGCTCCGGTGGACACCAAGTGACCCTCTAGTGCATTGGAGAGGAAGAAGATCATGAGACAAGCGTAGAGTTTGTTCTCCACACACCACACCCACCACGAGGGAGGGGCCTCTTGGCCAAAGTATCGGAACAAGTTTATGCCCGACAGGATACAAACTATCACCAGTAACTTGCCCAGGCCCTGCACAGTGCACAGGAAGAATCAACAAACTTCCATAGATATGTAAAATGAGAAATTATTTATTAAGTCATTAAACACAACAATTAATAAGCCTAGTTAACGAAAAAAAATGTAAATGGTTGAACTCTTTTATAAATGAAGAAACAATAATAAAGGGAGAAAAAATTGCTGAACTATACAACCTCATAAAAACCCACCACTCTAAAGAAGGTAGGAACATTACAGAAAACGGCTTAGACAAAAACATACCCACCAACTCAATATTAAATGACAAGGCAAAGCAAAACCACCCAAACAGTGGGCCTACTAAAAACGAATCAGAAGTACTGATACTAGGAGACTCCATTGTTCGAAACATTAAACATTACACGGAACACACACCAGATATTCAAACACACTGTATGCCGGGAGCCAGGATACAAACACTGAGCAAGCACCTATCATCACTCCAAACCCTACCACATACAGTAGTAGTTCATATAGGCACAAACAATCTCATCCACTCAAAAACTCCAAATGATGTCATGAGACCATTATGGTACACCTTAGAATCAGCAAAAAAAAAAATTCAAAGATACAATATGGATAATAAATGGAATTCTCCACAGAAGAGATATATCGACACAATATGTGAGAGAAGTAAACGAGGCACTAAGATTCATGTGCGACAACCTACACCTAGTTTTTAGAGACCCTAACGAAGAAGTGACAACCCGAGGAATCGATAAAGACGGACTACACCTAAACCCTCTAGGCGACTTCCAACTGGCAAATTTCATCCTAAAGGACCTTGGCCACACAGCACCCAAAACACTACATGTGGATCATAACAATCCCCCACCAAAGGAAGAAATCGACATAAACATGCAAACTCCTAGAACATCGAACGACTCTTTATCTCCTTCAAAAAACCTCCAAAAAAACTCACTAGGCCCAATGCAAACCCAGGAAGAAAAAGCATAACCTACAACCATAACAAAAACAAGAATACCGGAAAATTCACTGAACAAAAACTCAAAATTTTTCACCTCAACATACAACGCGGCCTACAGAATAAAATTGACCAATTGAAATTACATCTTGAAGAAATAAATCCACACATACTTATGATAACTGAACATGGCCACAACAAGGAAACTTTGGAACAGATCTACATGGCAGGATACAAACTACAAGCACACTTTTCAAGAGAATCCCACAAATGGGGAGGAGCCTCAATCTACACTCGAGAAAATCTAGATTCGAAAATACTTACCATCAATACAGCAGACTACACAGAAGAACTAGTATGCGAATTAGCGGCAATTGAACTCAAAATTGCCTCTAAAAAAATCATAACCATCTGCGCGCATCGACCAACATCAGGGAAACCACAAGAATTCCTAAACCATCTAGACAACTTTTTACACTCCATCTCAACAAAAAATAAACAAATCATACTACTAGGAGACCTAAACATCAACACACTTGAGAACTCTGAGGCGCTAAAAAATCTCAAAAGCATACTACACCAACACAACTTAAAACTGGAAGATCTACCCCCAACAAGAAAAGCAATAAACATAGAAACGAGTATTGACTGTTGTATAACAAACTATCTAGGACCTCAAACAAAAGTAATAGATAATATAATATCAGACCACCACGGAATAGAATGCATCATTAAAACGAAAATTAAAACCCAACGCCCGAAAAAAACAACCTCTAGAAATCTATCAACTGAAAATATGGACCTAATAAAACTACAATTAAAAAAAGAAAGCTGGCATGAAATATACACTGAAACAAACATTGAAGAAAAACTAAACAAATTTATCGGAATACTTCAATACCATCTGGACGTTATAAGCCCACTACAAACTAAAACTATCGTCCAAAAAAATACACAGCCCTTCCTCATGACAAAAGAACTACAGGAACTAAAAAAAAACACACTAAAGGCTAAAAACAACTTTCTAGCCACTGGAGGCCTCAAAGATAAAAATGACTACACGATACTGAAGAAAAAATATGATCAACAAGTACGTGACGCAAAAAAAAAACAAAATACAGAAACAAATAACAGAAGCAACCAATCCTACAAAGGAAATATGGAAGATTATAAACGAAGAAAGAAGAAAAAAGGTCCCAGAAGACACCAATATAACATTGAACATCAACGGGAAACAGGAAAATAAACCCCAAATCATAGCTGAAGCTTTCAACACCTATTTTTTATCAATAGGCCAACAAGATGAAGGAACTCAGATACCCATACAACATCATCTACCAACTCAAGACAACAGCATCAAACTAACTAAATTTGAAACAATTTCTGAAAAAACCCTTTTACAAATAATAAAAACCACAAAACACAACAACACAGCAGGAGCGGATGGAATACCAGGCAAACTTCTTCTGCACTGTAAGGACCAACTCCTGAAACCCCTTCTAAACATCATTAACACATCAATACTAACAGATACAGTACCAACAAAGCTGAAAACATCTCTAGTCTACCCTAAATTCAAAAAATCCAATAAACAGAACATCGAAAACTACCGACCAATTGCGATACTGCCAACCATATCAAAGTACCTTGAGAAGGCAATACATGGACAAATTATGGATTACTTAACTTTACACAACAAACTCCACATACACCAACATGGATTCAGAAACAACAGATCAATAAATTCAGCCATAGCAGACCTACTAAACATAATCACTGAAAATTGGGAAAAAAAACAACAAGTCTCAGCTGTATTTCTAGATCTACGGAAGGCGTTTGATTGCCTAAACTGGGACACCCTTCTAAACAAACTTCAAGAAATAGGAATTACAAATAAAGCACAAAAATGGATGAAAAGCTACCTATCGGAAAGAAACCAAATCGTTGAAATCAAATCAAATCAACAAAATAACGACAGAAAATTTAGATCAAAACAAAAACACATGAAGAATGGGGTGCCGCAAGGGTCAGTCCTTGGCCCTCTACTTTTCTTGATATATATCAATACAATACCAACAAAATTGCCAGCATACTCCGAATGCATTATGTTTGCAGACGACACCACCCTGATAATACCAGGACAAAACCGCAATGAAGTTGAAGAAAGAATAAAATCAACCATGAAAACAATAGAAGAAGAACTTAATACCATCAGCTTAAAAGTCAACCACTCAAAAACATTTCAAATCAATTTCACAGCCAAAACCACTCAACCCCAAGAACCGCAGGAAGGAAACATTATTGCAACAGTTAACCATACTAAATTTTTAGGACTCCAACTAGATAGCACACTAACTTTCAATAAGCACTCAGAATTCTTAATCAACAAACTATCCTCAGCCTTCTATGCAATAAAACGAATAAAAACCATAGCAGGGAAAAATCCAGCACTAATAGCATACCACTCACTCATGGCATCCCACATCAAATTCGGCCTAATAGCCTGGGGAAGTGCACCCCAAACATACATTGAACCAATCTTAATACTACAAAAAAAAGCTTTAAGAATAATAAATGATCTTCCATACAACACACCCTGCCGACAGCACTTCAGAGAAGACAAAATATTAACAGTTCTATCCATGTACATCTGTGACACCATTCAATATTCCATACAAGAGAACAATAAGACAAGAGCAGAAATTCATCAACACAACACAAGGAAGAAAGAAGATATAGACCTCCCTTACAAAAGACTAAAGAAGGCACAGGACCAACCCTTGTATACTGGCACAAAATTCTATAACCACCTTCCCCAAAACATCAAATCCCTAAAACCTAACAAAACCAAATTCAAGCAAACCCTAACAAATCATCTCACACAAAATCCATGCTACACCAAACAAGAATTTTACACCATCAACAAAAACAGATAGACTCACACATACACCAAAACAAGAACCCAGGTCAAACTTTGACCAACAATAAACTTCCTAGGGCCTTGCCCAAAGAAGAAGACGTACCCCCTGTCTTAAGGAGAGTGGCGGTGAAGAAGAAGGTAAAGGTAAAGGTAAAGGTAATGCAAAATTACCACAAGACCGATAAAGTTTTAAATTGTCTGTTTATAAATCACTCAAGTAGGGGTTTAAGGGGGTCAGTTAATGAACATATAACAAGGATGAGAGCCTGTTTTATCCTTGCATTAGTTTTGTGTTAACTTAATGGGAGGTTGCACTGTTTTGATAAGAATTATAAGTACCATAAGATACTAATTTTAATCAAAACCAGTTTTTTTCAAAGTCCTATTTTTTATATTTTAAATACAAAGTACCAAAGTAGTGTAGTAGGGGTAGAATGGGAAAATAACATTAGTTAATATAACTTTTAAACCGTAATTTATATACCAATGTGAGTTACACAATTTTGTTCCAAATTAGTACCTACATACCAAATTTAATCCAAATCAGACAATACGTATTAAAAAAATTCTAGGGATACTATTAAAATAGGTACCTTTTTAGTCTTTTACAAAAAAGAAAAAAAAACATTAGTGACAATGTACTTTGATAAACCGTTACTCAACAGCAACTAACTGTTGTAATCCCCTTGTTTAGGTAGGCCTATAGACTGAATAGCTTAGATTATAATGTATTTGAACAGGTGGGAAACACACTCAGAACTTGAATAAGGATACAAAATATTTGTAGGTAGGCCTACACAATACAAATTGAGAAAATTATTCATGTGACAACCATAATTCTTTGAAGCTGCAAGTATTGTTATAAAAGATGACGAAAAACTTTCAAATAGAAGTCGTAAGCAATGAATTTGAGCTGAGATATTATAATTTTATTGCTTACTGTACATAGGTTACTTTATTTACTAAGTGAATGGATTCTTTCATGCAAGAAGACATTTCAATCTTATTTTGTGCAAAAGTGCAAAGGTATAGTTTAAATTATATTCAATTAAGAAGGGTCACATTATTTCACACTGACTGTACTGCAGGAAGAAAACTTATCTCAAAAAGCCCTCTTCAAGTATTTCTTTAAGAAGATTATTTAGCTATTACTTAACAAGATGGGGAGGGATCAAAACCTTGAAAGGAAATGCTAAGCAAATACTACAGCCATTGATCAATACAATCTTCTTAAATCTTCACTAGAGTTAAAGAACCCAGGCTACATATCGAGATGAAAACTACTTTCGATCCTTTAAGCAGGAAATATTCATCCTGGCTAAATTGCATTTAAATAAAACTATAGCCTAATATTTAACATACCACAAATTTTGCAACGAACATGCTGTACCCAGGAGGTTCATAATTGCCTCCTTCGATGCTGATTTCTGGATATTTCTTGTGTAGGATAGCAGAATACTCATCAAATGCTTTCCTGTACCCACAGGAGTAGCTGTAACAAAAAAACTAGGATTAGCAAAATACAAGCTAGTCCATACCATGGGGGTTGGTACAATGTTCAAAATTCACGTAGTGATTCCTTGGGTCAAAATAAAGAGAAAATCAAGAGTAGGCCTAAAACTTTTCCAAAATCGTTTCGTTAACCAGATCTAGGCTATCCATCTTTTTTTATTATAAAACATTTTCATCTTTTGATTGTTCCGACCGATCTTTATGAAGCTGGGAATGTTGATTATCCAAAATACAAGCTAGTCTATACAATGGGGGTTGATTATCCAAGAGCCAGTCATCAGAAAATTAGTTCCAAACCTTTGATTTTTTTTATTTTACTCGATAACGTAAACTACTTAGTGCCTATTTTGTACCATGAGAGCAGTAAAGGATAACGATGTTCCTCTAGTAACCAAAGAATAGATCAAATTCTATTCCTCTAGCAATAGAAGCAGATCACATAACGTCAGACTACCCTCTACACTTTTTTTAAAATGTTCAAAACACAACAATTTGGCACTTTTCAAGACAATGTTAATGTTACTCCTCTCTTTATGGGTGCTATTTAAACAACTTAAATTATTTTCTGGATAGGCCTGGTTATTAATTGATTTCAGAAGACATCTACAAAGGTTGCGTAGAAATTGCTGATCGAGAATCAAGAATCAAGATTTTATTCCATTAGACATGTACATGCATTAGGATACGTTAATAAAGTTGAATATATGCTGCAAAAACACAAGTCAAAGATAAATTACAGTACATAACAAATAAGGCATAGACAAAAAAATCAAATAGATACAAAGGTCATTTAGATGTCACAGTCAAGACTACGGTATACTTACAGAAAAAATAGATAACAAGATATAATTTAGTGAAAAAAAAGAAATACTTAGAACAAGGCAGTGACTAGATTAGACTAGACTAGACAGTGTACAGTCAGCCACAGAAGAATGCTTCTGTAGCTTCGATAGCTTCACAATCATGGGAGATAAGCACAACTGACTTTAAAGTTAGGTAGCCTAGTTTTTATTTTATTTCATACAGGTTGTTCAAAAAGAGTAGGGACAAAATGCATGTAGTGATTACTTGGGTCAAAATAAAGAGAAAATCAACAGTAAAACATTTCCAAAATCGCTTCGTTAACCAGCCTATCCACCTTTTTTTATTACAAAACATTTTCATCTTTTGATTGTTCTGACCGATCTTTATGAAGCTTGGTATGTATGTTAAGGGGAGACTGAACCTTTTATGTCTTAAAAAATAAATTTTTGTTTTTCGTCTAAAATTAATCTCCATTTCTTCCTGATTAAGAAAATATATAATACTTAGAATATTAGAAAGCTTCTTGTGATAACAATAAATAAACAAAGCTAACTCTACCGAGGTTTCGGCCACACTATTCTTATGGCTTTGAGTGTGTGCTGCAAAGCTTTAAGTGTGTTTTTCCGAAAGTTAGTTTTTTTATCTTTAGGTACACATAGTTCAAAATCTGTAATACATAGAGACTTAAAATTTGCATGCATTAGTCTGGGTACTTGTTGAGTATTAAACCAATCATATATTGATTAGTTATAAATTTTCATTTAAAAAATAATTTATTTTTATTTTTAGAATAGCCTATCGCATAAAAATTTGTATTTTTTAAATTATTGAAAATAATTTTTATATTGATAGGCTATATTTCTTTAAAAAGTGGTTTAACGTAATGATATGGATGTGATAATTAAGTGTGCAAAAAATCTGTATGATAGGTTTAGTAGTTTACGTGCTATATGTACTTGAACTTGTAGAGAATATCCATTTAAAAAGCACTGAACCAGAAAAGGTACAGTCTCCCCTTGGTAGAAGTGACCCATGTGAAATAAAAGAAACTATCTTGGTCCAATTAAAAATTTCGAAATGGCGGCCATTTAAAATTTTTAAACTTAAATTATAAAAAAATGGCTGATTTTATGAAAAAAAAGTAAAGTAAGTTAGGTAGGTATCCGGTACCGGTACACATTTATTTAGCATTTTTGATTCCCTATAAAATGGCACCAAGTTCAAAAAGGTTGAATAAAAAATAACTTAACTCAAATATCATGATTATTAGTTGTAAAACATGGATATCTATGTGGTTAACGAAACGATTTACTTGACTAGCAGCTTAGTTATAGGCTACACGTGCTTCGCGAAGGGAATAAGTTCCCGTAACAATCAGTTTCATATAATCAAAGGCATAGATTTAGAATAAATAATAATCTATGATAGTTTTAGATTAAATACCTACAAAAATTAATCCTAACTTACTACGTAGCTGTATAAAATATATTTAATTTTTTTTATCAAATCTGTCTGAAATTGTGAAATAAGTTTAAGCATTATGGCATTTCACATTGGAATGTCAATGCAAAGGTTAACATTATGAATTTTATTGTGATTCCATGGAGACAAATTAATGTTTACTTTTGAAAACCTCCCCTCAAAACTTAGGACATCCAAGGGGCGTGGCCCGAGAAGAACTCAGAGATGTGAATAGGCCTTGACATTCCTAGATATGTGGACCATCTCGGTGCTTAATTTCGGCTGTATTGGTTTAGTATTTTAGTTGTGACAGCTGCCCAGACAGACACCACCTCAATTTTACTACTTAGGCCTACTATAATCAGACTAAGTTACTACTTTTGATAATCTTAAGCTTATAATCAAATGTTTTCATTAAGTAGACTAAGTAAGTTAACTTATAAGTCAATTAAGTACCGGTAGGTAAGTTAAGTTATACATAAAAAAATGAAAACCTCAGTTAAGTTAAGTAACTTAAACCAAAGTAACCAAACCATATGATTGACTGGTAATAATAGGCTACTTAAAATACTACATCCAATCAATAACACGTGCTTATTAGATCAATTAAGTAGGCTTGATATGAAAAATTCCACGATAACGATCTTAAATCTCAGCAGTGGAGTTGTAAGTTCGAGTAGACTTCCGTTGTTGTCAAAAACAACCAAATGAAAATATCGATGGATATATCGATTATTCGATTGTTTCATTCAATATATTGCTTGGTTAGTTAGGTTAACCTAAACCTAAAAAACTAACCAAATGATGGGTATATCAAAATAAATAATCAATATATCGATCGATATTTTCATTCAGTTGTTTTTGACAACAGATATGGAAGTGTACCGGTACTCGTAAGTTCTGCCAGTCGTCTAACAACTTATTACACCCCAATTGGGCTGCCACTTTACTTTAGGCCCTACACTTATTCGAATGAAACAGTCGATTAATCGATATATCAATCGATATTTTCATTTGATTGAGTGTAGGACCTACGGTTAAGTGCAGCCCCCAATTGTAAAAACTGGTTAGCCTACTGTACGTTTACACAAAATGGGAACTCCTGACCTATGTTACAATCATTCCCTACACGTCTGATTTTTAAAACATTGACTTCCTGACTGCCTAGGCCTAAGTATCTAACCAAACTTAAATAGGCCTATTTTAGTTGATTTTTCTTGATAGGTATATCATTTAAGAATGGAAACTAATATTGTAAGAAACTGGATGATATAGGGTAAGGAGACTCAATTTTAGTTAGGCTAAAATATGACAAATTAAAAATAATATCCTTGGTTGGTTACAAATAATGTGATAAAAGATAGCAAGGAAATTACTGTACATCAACGTAAACAGTCTTACCAGTAATAAAATTTCAGCGTGGGTCCTATTTTAGAAGATAACCCGACTTTGGTAACAGGAATTTCTTTTTCAGCACTAGTTTCTACAAAAATTTCTTTTATAGAATAAATCAAAAATATTGAGAAAATAATGCCACAGAACATTCTTCCACTATCCATTTTGAAGACTGAATAACTGACTTATAAGAAGTTATAACATAACACAATGACAGACAATACAAACACAAAACTCACTGAACGAATTCGTCTGTCTGTCAGTCTGTCACCCAATCCGATCCTATCTAAAACAGAGTGAGAGTAGTGTCTTTGACAAGCGTCGGAGTGGAGTGACGTCTGACGTCGACGTCAACGACGTCTGCGGTCTGCTTCATCATCATAGCAAACAGAAGACATAATATAATATAACCTAAATATTTTAAAGAATTGACTAAAACCACGTGAAATAAATGGGTAGGTACCAAACTTATAAATTTTATATTTATTTAGGCTAAAATTCAATAGTTTTGTTATTGCCTTTGCCCATAATAAGTTAATGACTAGGGAACTTAACATGGTCATCTTCGTGACTTCTTTTTAGATGGGCAGCTAAGTTGTTCTTGTAATAAATAAATAAATAAATTCACACAGGGGTACACTTTCATATCTGTTGGCACAAACAACCGAATGAGTAATATTGATTATTCTATTGTTTAATTCGATATATCGGTTGGTTAGTTAGGTTAGGTTAACCTTACCTAACTAACCAAGCGATATATCGATCGATATTTTCATTCGGTTGTGCCAACGGTAATATAGGCCTACTGAACTTATACTACTTTACCTAACTAACCAAGCGATATATCGATCGATATTTTCATTCGGTTGTGCCAACGGTAATATAGGCCTACTGAACTTATACTACTTTATGTTATATTGCATTTTTTTCCTTATCTACCTAAATTAGACTATTTTAAGGGCTGCACTTTACTGTAGGTCCTACACTCGGTAATACTGAACTTATACCAGGCCTACTTATGTTATATTGCACTTTTTACGTTAGGGCCTATCTACCAAAACTAGGATATTTTTAAGCACTTTTTACCTTTGGCACTTTTGGGGTAAACGACTTAACTTATGTACTCCTTGTCTGATGTTATTTCTAGGAGGACCTTTTATTTAATGGTATATTTCATCACCATTATAATATTGGGACATATAGGATACATGGTGAAAACCTAAGCTAAGCCACTTGGTCAAGTCATGAGGGATAACAATGTGATAAAATAAATAAATATACATAAACATGTTACAGAAGAAAAGTGAGTGATTAAAGGGTAAACATCTGGATGGGTGGGTGTGTGAATTGAGAGGTGATGGTGGGGCAATGGCGTAGGTGGGTGAGCGAATTGAGAGGTGATGGTGGGGCAATGGCGTAGGTGGGTGAGCGAATTGAGAGGTGATGGTGGGGCAATGGTGTGGGTGTGTGAGTGTGAAACAAAATGATAATAAGTGGTAAGAGAATGAGTTATGTGCGTGATAGGGTGGGAGGAAGTAAGGAAAACAACATCTATGTATTGCCATATATTACTTTTACATCAGGAAAACAGAAACTAGGTAAAGTTGTAATACAAAATAAATACTACAGTATGCTGGTTTATGTGTGGACGATCTTATGAAGATAATTATGACCATAATATCAGTTGAAACAAACGGGTACAACCATGATATATTTCAATTTTAAAAATATATAAACAAATATACATATTTTATGAACAACAAAACATTTTTAGCTATAATTATAGTTTACAAAAAATACCTAGAGTAATAATATTTTGAGTTAACTGATTATATGAATTCAAATAACATTGTTACTAGAGGTTAAAATACCTTAATCTGTCAGTGTCATCACCACCAATGATAAGCGGCGACCGGTTTTAACCCAGCAATGGGGTCATCCTCAGGAGAAGAAAGACATTCAAATCACTCCGAAGAAGACGTCAGAAAGTCCAAAAATACATAATGAAGAACACTACATGTTTTACAAAAACGTGTGGCCACAACATATGCAGAGGACGGTACGCGTACGTTGAATTCTTCGTCTTGAACTTTGCCTGAGGATGACCCCATGCTCGGTTGTAACCGGTCACGGCTCATCTGTGAAGTTAATACCATTGACGTATTAAGGTATTTTAACCTCTAGTAATAATTTAAATTGTGATCAAGTGGCCAAAAATAACAAATTTAAATGAAGTAACATTTAGTTAAATAACAACACTGATTTCGTTGGTGTGTGATTTGTAATATTTTATGGGTACTTTGTCATAAGATTTTACAGCATGTACAGAAGAGAAAAAGAATCAAATCCAAATGTTTCATTTTGTAATAAATTATTACCTACATTAGAAGAAAGGATAAAGTCAATACATAATACCTGTAATTTTAATATTCTCAATAAGGATTACCGATTATGAACATCTTCATCCCACTCTTCATATTTAACACTTTGTCATAAAAACGGTTCTAAAGCATCTTCAATTGTTAATATTTGTGAGACATATTATATCAATCAATGAAAAATTACAATCCAGTAGATTTGACCAACATAAAATCTATTGGTATTTATATATAAACACCTCAAATTGGTATTCTTAAGTTAGTTTGGTCCAGGGCCGTATTAAGAATCTATGAGGCCAATTTGGCAATCCGGCGGCTCTCACCAGAGAGGCCCCTCTATATTCTGATTCTACGAAGGATGGAATTTTACGAAGCATAGAAATACACATGGTATTGCTTTAACTCGATGAATCGAACCTTTGTTTCCAAAATCCGATTGGCAAAAAGACGTAGGAGACTAGCTAATAAATGAGTCTATTATTTTTTTAAATAATAATATTAGGGGTCTTTTTTTATTTTTTAAGTCGGGGCCAGACATTTTTTATTTTTTTGGGAATGAGTAAAAACATGTTGACCTTTGGCAAAGGATCCAAATGGGTTAGTTTTTTAAAATAATTAATTTTATATATATTAATTGATACACTATAATCTAATATATAAAATTCTCGTGTCACAGTGTTTGTCTGCAAACTCCTCCGGAACGACTTCACCGATCGTTATGAAATTTGGTGTGTAAATTCTGTAGGTATGCGAATCGGACGTAAACTTTTTTTTTTACTATTTCCCGTTTCGAAATTCTTAAAAGGGCTCCGCCCCAGTGGCTCTGGAGTTTCCCATGTTAACCTTATGAGAAATGGAATTAATGAATCTTAACAGCTGTTTCAATTAAACAAGTTGGTTCTGTTCTATGATGTTCAATAGCATTAAAGTTACAAGGATTACCAACAGGGTGCAGCACTATTATTTCTTTTACATTTATGACAACAGCTAATTTGCAACCAAAAGGTGAGTGAGCGTAGCGAACGAACTTCAACCTGGAGGCGATAGCGTAGCGAACTAGCTAACCTGAAGGCAAGTGAGCGCAGCGAACGAGCTCCAACCTAAAGGTGAGTGAGCGTAGCGAACGAGCTCCAACCCAAAGGTGAGTGAGCGTAGCGAACAAACTTCAACCAGGACGTGATTGAGCGATGCGAACGAGATCATCTTGAAAATTAAACGTAACGGTACTTTCTTTCCATCGGTCTGTCTTAGGGGAAACCTATAACTTAGGCGATACGAAGTTCGCCGGGTCAGCTAGTCTTTTAATATAATTATTGATGCTCCATATCCATTATCCAGCCTAGAAGATATTATTGAACTATGTAAAACTATAGTTTGACTTAAATTAATGGATAAATGAATGTGACTAATAAATTATTATCTTTTTTCAGAAATGACAATCCATGAGACCAAGTATAAGAAAAAAGAATGTCAGTTTATAGCAAGGAAACTAATAGAATTCATCTCTGACATAGTTGTTTGAACAACAGCTAAAAATGATACTTATTAGCCTATACTAATCTTCAAAGAACAAGAAGTAATTAATTAACTAGAATGTAAAACTAGAATTTAAATTATTATCATTGTAAAAAATATGAAGAAAAACTTTAAGAATTAATATGCTATTATGTATCCTAAAATACTAGAGAAGACAGAAAAATCCCTCAAATATGTTGTAAAATCTCTGATATGCATAACAGTTTTATGAGCAAGAGACAATTTAAAGTTTATCTTGAATGCTACATGTATAACCGCTAAACATTTAGCTAATCCAAACTAGGAAGATATTTCAATTGACATACACGGTTTTCTAACTAGTTGGGCCCTCCGAATATGATAAGCAAGAAAGGACCAAGTTACAAAAATACCAAAACACATTAAAATGCATACTATCAAGTGTCTATTTTGCGGAAAAATCTGTTCAAAACAATTGTCAAAAGCTCATATATTACTACATACTGGCGAGCATCCCTTTAAATGTTTGGTATGCGAAAAGACCTTTGTCCAAATACATCAAATAAAGAGTCACTTGTTGAAACACTCTGGGAAGTGTACTTACAAATGTACTACATGTGGAAAATCCTTTGCATCCAAAGGCTATATGAAGAGACACTCATTGGTCCATTCAGGAGCGAGACCTTTTAAGTGTGATACATGTGGAAAATCCTTTACAACCATAAGTGATATGACGATTCACACAAGGGTCCATACTGGAGAGAGGCCTTATAAGTGCAAAACATGTGGAAAATCCTTTGCATCCAAAAGCTATATGAAGAGGCACTCATTGGTCCATTCAGGAGCGAGAGCGAGACCTCATAAGTGCAATACATGTGGAAAATCGTTTGCATTTAAAAGCTATATGAAGACACACTCATTGGTTCATTCAGGAGAGAAACATCATAAGTGTTCTACATGTGAAAAATATTTTGTGACAAAATACGTTTTGAAGAAACATCACAAAATGGTTCATGCTAAAGAGAGACCTTATAAGTGTTCTACATGTGAAAAATCTTTTGCAAGGAAAGACATTTTAAGGGGTCACCACAAAAGGGTTCATACTAGAGAGAGACCTTATAAGTGTTCTAAATGTGAAAAGTCTTTTGCAACAAAAAGTGATTTGACAAGTCACACATTGATATATCACAAAAGGGTTCTTACTGGAGAGATGAGACCTTATAAGTGTTCTATTTGTGGAAAGAATTTTGCAAGGAAAGACGTTTTGAAGAGTCATCTCACAAGGGTTCATAATAGAGAGACACCTTATAATTGTTCTACATGTAATAAATCTTTTGTAATGAAAGGTGATTTGACATGTCACATAAGGTTTCATACTGGAGAGAGACCTTACAAGTGCTCTACATGTGAAAAATCTTTTAAAACAAAAATAGCTATGAAGGAACATCACACAAGGATTCATACTGGAGAGAGACCATATAAGTGCTCTACATGTGAAAAATCTTTTGCTACAAAATATGGTATGAGGTCTCACATAAGGGTTCATACTGAAGGGAAGAGACCTTATAAGTGTTCTATATGTGAAAAGAATTTTACATTGAAATATGTTTTGAAGATTCATCACACCACGGTTCATACAGGGGAGAAACCTTACTAGTGTTCTATATGTGAAATATCTTTTGCAGAAAGACAAGCTTTGAAGGAACATCACACTTAAGGGTGCACACCAGGGTTGCCACTCATCCCGATTCTGCCAGGACAGTCCCGATTTCGGTTCCTTATGCCCGTATTTAAGCCTATGATAATCCGGGGAGAGGGGGACCATGTCCCGATAAGACACACGTCCACATTCTTTTCATTTGTTGCAATGAAATACTTAACAACAGTAGTTTATTTGTTTTGTTGTTAAGTTTTGGGTACTTTAAAAATTTTTTGTCTTTAGCCTGACTTATTTGTTCATTGGTGGGACCCATTACTCAAGATGAAATGCTAGGTCAATGTCATGACATGTTTTTACAAATAGCAGTGTTTTATCTTGAACTGTTTATTTCTTTAGTTGTATTCTAGAGGTTTTAGCAAATTTCCATGATAGTTTTAGATGTTGGTAGATGGCAAGGTAACAGTGAGACCTGGGTCAGATTAACTTTTTGTTTTGTTGACCCCAGAGAGAACAAAATTGTAATGTTAAATTGTCACGTTTTTGTATATATAGATGTATAGATGAGATTCATAGCCTAAAAATAAACAACCAGATAATCAATATAAATTTTCTGTTTGTCAAAAAAGTGGTTGAACCCAAATTAACACATTGTTTTTTTTAACAATACGCTAAAATTGTCATATTTTTTGTCAGATTATGCTGAGACAAAATTAAAACAAATTTGTTTAACAAGTTTAATTTTTTTCTTTCATACCTATAGAGCACCTAGGCTCTTTGTTAATACATAGGTTTGGTAACACACCACATTGTAACTATCATATCATACACTAACGAGTTTATGTTTATGTTGTTAATTTAAATGTTTTTTTTTATTATAAATGTTTTTTAATTTAATTTAAATGTTAATTTATGTTGTTAATTTGCCGATGCTTGATGGCAAATCTGTGCATGCATACCTTCAATTTGAGACCTATTTCATGAAAATTGGTCGAATAGAAGAGCCAAACGAACTCGGAAAAGAGAAACAAAATTTAACTCCCATAAGAAATACATGGGGAGCAAATTTTGTTTACGTATAAGCCGAGTGGGATTATAGATAAACATATGCCGATGCTTGATCACAAATTTGCGTGCATACCTTCAATTTGAGACCTCAACATCAATCATGAAAATCGGTCGGGTAGTAGAGCCAAACTGACTCAGAAAGGAAAAGAAAAACAAAATTATTTTACAATACGTGGTAGGTTTATTTAATCTAAAACATTATCATATATTATTAACTAGCTGGCCCGACAGACGTCGTCCTGTCCTATTGTGGTTTTATGTCACATGCTCGTTCATTTTTAAGATGAGCTCGTTCGCATGGCTCAATCACGTCCTGGTTGAAGTTCGTTCGCTACGCTCACTCACCTTTAGGTTGGAGCTCGTTCGCTGCGCTCACTTGCCTTCAGGTTAGCTCGTTCGCTACGCTAACTCGCCTCCAGGTTGAAGTTCGTTCGCTACGCTCACTCACCTTTTGGTTGCAAATTAACTGTTCTCATAAATTAAAAATAAATATAGTGCTGCACCCTGTTGGTAAACCTATTAACTTTTTAATGCTATTGAACATCACAGAATCAAATTTGTTTAGTTGCACCAGCTGTTAAGATTCTTTAATTCCATTTAAATATGAGTACTCATAAGGTTAAAATGGGAAACTCCAGAGCCACTGGGGCGGAGCCCTATTGACGGATCTGCACCAAACTTCACACAAACCATCCTTGAATAATGCTTAATAATGCCTGAAAGTTTCATTACAATCTGTCGAGCGGTTTTGGAGTCCATAAAGGACAAACATACAAATATACAAACATACATTGGATTTTATATATATAGACTACTCAATTCTACTTATTTATTCTATCAACCCAGGCTCTGCTTTAGATTTTTTAGTGTCTAGAAATTAATGTTATTACTAGATTTTCATGGAAACAGTATGACAATTACAATGTATATTTGTTTAAAGCCTTTTTTTACTGTCAATTTTTGGCTAGTCCTATGCTCTTTCATTTCATATTGTATCTGTTTTCTTTCTTCTAAAGCATCTTCAATTGTGAATATTTGTGAGACATATTATATCAATCAATGAAAAATTACAATCCAGTAGATTTGACCAACATAACATCTAGTGGTATTTATATATAAACACCTCAAATTGGTATTCTTAAGTTAGTTTGGTCCAGGGCCGTATTAAGAATCTATGAGGCCAATTTGGCAATCCGGCGGCTCTCACCAGAGAGGCCCCTCTATATTCTGATTCTACGAAGGTTGGAATTTTACGAAGCATAGAAATACACATGGTATTGCTTTAACTCGATGAATCGAACCTTTGTTTCCAAAATCCGATTGGCAAAAAGACGTAGGAGACTAGCTAATAAATGAGTCTATTATTTTTTTAAATAATAATATTAGGGGTCTTTTTTATTTTTTAAGTCGGGGCCAGACATTTTTTATTTTTTTGGGAATGAGTAAAAAAATTTTGACCTTTGGGCAAAGGATCCAAATCCAAATGGGTTAGTTTTTTAAAATAATTAATTTTAACCTATATATATTAATTGATACACTATAATCTGTTAATATAATTATACAGGGTGTCCCGGAACTCTCTACCAATATTTTAGGGCATTGATCCTGGGTAAGAAACGTACCTAAATATCATATTTAAATTGTCCGGAAGTCCTTAGTTACTCACACAGCCGCCATTTTGTTTTTTTTCAGTTATTATATTTTTTTCTAAAGAATGGTTAAACATACGAAATGGAAACTTTGCACAAACATTTATGACAACTAGACAAAGCTGCAAAAAAATATGAAGATTTTTCAAATCCATAAAACAAAATGGCAGCCATTTAAAATTTTCTTTCTTAAATAACTTAAAAACCATTGATTTTACAAAAATTTTAAATGGCCGCCATTTTGTTTTATGAATTTGAAAAATCGTGATAATTTTTTGGTAGCTTTGTCTAGTTGTCATAAATGTTTGTGCAAAGTTTCCATTTTGTATGTTTAACCATTCTTTAGAAAAAATTAATAACTGAAAAAAATAAAATGGCGGCTGTGTGAGTAACTAAGGACTTCCGGACAGTTTAAATATGATATTTAGTTATGTTTCTTACCCAGGAGCAATGCCCTAAAATATTGGTAGAGAGTTCCGGGACACCCTGTAGATGCTCTATATCCATTATCCAGCCTAGAAGATATTATTGAACTATGTAAAACTATAGTTTGACTTAAATTAATGGATAAATGAATGTGACTAATAAATTATTGTCTTTTTTCAGAAATGACAATCCATGAGCCCAAGTATAAGAAAAAAGAAAGTCAGTTTATAGTAAGGAAACTAATAGAATTGATCTCTGACATAATTGTTTGAACAACAGCTCAAAATGATACTTATTAGCCTATACTAAACTTCAAAGAACAAATGAAGTAATTATTAACTAGAATGTAAAACTAGAATTTAAATCATAATCATTGTAAAAAATATGAAGAAAAACTTATTTAATTTAAGAATTATTATGCTATTATCTATCTTAAAATACTAGAGAAGACAGAAAAATTCCTCAAATATGTTGTAAAATCTCTGATATGCATAACAGTTTTATGAACAAGAGACAATTTAAAGTTTATCTAGAATGCTACATGTATAACCGCTAAACTTTTAGCTAATCCAAACTAGGAAGATATTTCAATTGACATACACGGTTTTCTAACTAGTTGGGCCCTCCGAATAGTTACTAGCTTATCTGATAAGCAAGAAAATACCAAGTTACAAAAATACCAAAACACATTAAAATGCATACTATCAAGTGTCTATTTTGCGGAAAAATCTGTTCAAAACAATTGTCAAAAGCTCATATATTATTACATACTGGCGAGCATCCCTTTAAATGTTTGGTATGTGAAAAGACTTTTGTCCAAATACATCAAATAAAGAGTCACTTGTTGGAACACTCTGGGAAGTGTACTTACAAATGTACTACATGTGGAAAATCCTTTGCATCCAAAGGCTATATGAAGAGACACTCATTGGTCCATTCAGGAGCGAGACCTTTTAAGTGTGATACATGTGGAAAATCCTTTCCACTCATAAGTGATATGACGATTCACACAAGGGTTCATACTGGAGAGAGGCCTTATAAGTGCAAAACATGTGGAAAATCCTTTGCATCCAAAACCTATATGAAGAGGCACTCATTGGTCCATTCAGGAGCGAGAGCGAGACCTCATAAGTGCAATACATGTGGAAAATCGTTTGCATTTAAAAGCTATATGAAGACACACTCATTGGTTCATTCAGGAGAGAAACGTTATAAGTGTTCTACATGTGAAAAATATTTTGTGACAAATTCCGTTTTGAAGAAGCATCACAAAATGGTTCATGCTAAAGAGAGACCTTATAAGTGTTCTACATGTGAAAAATCTTTTGCAAGGAAAGACATTTTAAGGGGTCACCACAAAAGAGTTCATACTAGAGAGAGACCTTATAAGTGTTCTAAATGTGAAAAGTCTTTTGCAACAAAAAGTGATTTGACGAGTCACACATTGATTTATCACAAAAGGGTTCTTACTGGAGAGATGAGACCTTATAAGTGTTCTATTTGTGAAAAGAATTTTGCAAGGAAAGACGTTTTGAAGAGTCATCTCACAAGGGTTCATAATAGAGAGACACCTTATAATTGTTCTACATGTAATAAATCTTTTGTAATGAAAGGTGATTTGACACGTCACATAAGGTTTCATACTGGAGAGAGACCTTACAAGTGCTCTACATGTGAAAAATCTTTTACAACAAAAATAGCTATGGAGGAACATCACACAAGGATTCATACTGGAGAGAGACCATATAAGTGCTCTACATGTGAAAAATCTTTTGCTACGAAATATGATATGAGGTCTCACATAAGGGTTCATACTGAAGGGAAGAGACCTTATAAGTGTTCTATATGTGAAAAGAATTTTACATTGAAATATGTTTTGAAGATTCATCACACCACTGTTCATTCGGGGGAGAAACCTTACTAGTGTTCTATATGTGAAATATCTTTTGCAGAAAAACAAGCTTTGAAGGAACATCACACAAGGGTGCATACCAGGGTTGCCACTCATCCCGATTCTGCCAGGACAGTCCCTATTTCGGTTCCTTATGCCCGTAAGCCTATGATAATCCCGGGAGAGGGAGATCATGTCCCGATTTTTCCTTAACCTAAGGTGGCAACCCTGGTGCATACTGGAGAGCTTTATAAGACCTTATAAGACACACGTCCACATTCTTGATTCTTTTCATTTGTTGCAATGAAATACTTAACAACAGTAGTTTATTTGTTTTGTTAGTAAAATGTTGTTAAGTTTTGGGTACTTTAAAAAAATTTTAGTCTTTAGCCTGACTTATTAGTTCATTGGTGGGACCCATTACTCAAGATGAAATGCTAGGTCAATGTCATGACATGTTTTTACAAATAGCAGTGTTTTATCTTGATCTGTTTATTTCTTTAGTTGTATTCTAGAGGTTTTAGCAAATTTCCATGATAGTTTTAAATGTTGGTAGATGGCAAGGTAACAGTGAGACCTGGGTCAGATTAACTTTTTGTTTTGTTGACCCCAGAGAGAACAAAATTGTAATGTTAAATTGTCACGTTTTTGTATATATAGATGTATAGATGAGATTCATAGCCTAAAAATAAACAACCAGATAATCAATATAAAATTTCTGTTTGTCAAAAAAGTGGTTGAACCCAAATTAACACATTGTTTTTTTTACAATACGCTAAAATTGTCATATTTTTTTCAGATTATGCTGAGACAAAATTAAAACAAATTTGTTTAACAAGTTTAATTTTTTTCTTTCATACCTATAGAGCACCTAGGCTTTTTGTTAATACATAGGTTTGGTAACACACCACATTACAATACAACTATCATATCATATACACTAACGAGTTTATGTTTATGTTGTTAATTTAAATGTTTTTTTCATTTTAAATGTTTGTTAATTTAATTTAAATGTTAATTTATGTTGTTAATTTGCCGATGCTTGATGCTTAAAAAAAGCATGCTTTAGCATCTTCTCTAAAATCTAAAATCTAAATCTGTGCGTGCATACCTTCAATTTGAGACCTATTTCATGAAAATTGGTCGAATAGAAGAGCCAAACAAACTCGGAAAAGAGAAACAAAATTTAACTCCCATAAGAAATACATGGGGAGCAAATTTTGTTTATGTATAAGCCGAGTGGGATTATAGATAAACATATGCCGATGCTTTATCACAAATTTGCGTGCATACCTTCAATTTGAGACCTCATTCTATCAACCCAGGCTCTGCTTTAGATTTTTTAGTGTCTAGAAAATAATGTTATTACTAGATTTTCATGGAAACAGTATGACAATTACAATGTATATTTGTTTAAAGCCTTTTTTACTCTCAATTTTTGGCTAGTCCTATTCTCTTTCATTTCATATTGTATCTGTTTTCTTTCTTTATTTTATTAGTTAAGTCTTAGATTAAATATTACTTTAGAAATACATTAGTTTGATAAGTTACAATCATCGATCTCTATTACTATACTGCTGTTGTAGTAAGAGATCGATGGTTACAATATGATATTTATTAGAGGAATTACAAATAGAATTGATTGAATTTAATGGAACCAACAATAGGTTTTACATTACGTAGGTTTTACAATATGGCGGGGTTTCCTCAATTTGATGATAAGGTTCTAGTTCTAAGTTACATATACTTTGAGTTCTCTTATTACAGAATATAAATCCAACTGGTTAACGGCCAGGGTCCATGGTGGTGAGTTGTCCTCTCTCCAGCCTTTAACTCCAGGCCTGGTAGAATTGGCAACGTCGCAAGTAGGTTTTTTAGTGTCACACGTCCCATAAGATAACATGGCAAACAGGTGAACTCAGCTCATTAATTCACACTTTGTTGATTTAATTTAAGTTTATGAACATAAATTTATTAAAATGAGCCATTGGCCCGTCCTACGTACGGGACTCGAGTAGTCCATTAAAACTGTATATAGTTTTATCAATATGTCTAATCATTGACTATACACAGAAGTCCCTAATTCAAGGGATTGTTGTAATAAAAAAACTGCCAAGATGAATTAAAACGTGTGATCATTGTTAATTTTCCCAACCTTTCTTCAAAAAGTCGAGTAGAAAAATAATTTCCATAAGTTTTCTTTTGAAGACTCGTGAACTTCGAATCGTTTACAGCAATGGTTATAGAATCTTACTTATTTCCTATAATCAATGACAAAATCACAGAGTAAATAAACTAATCTCATAGTTCTATAGAATATTTTTATATTCAACCAGCTGTTAGTTATAACAAATTATATTGCATTGTATTTGTTATGTACATTTTGTAAAGAACAAATACCCCCACCGCAGCAAACCTGCAGACTAAGCGAATTTCCATTTGCCTGATTGGATTAACACTAAAATGTCTCCTTAAAAATATCACATTTATTCCCTATTTAAATCAAATCAGTTTAACACATACTTAGGTTTGCTGCAACAGGGAGCGTTAAAGTGTTTTTTAATGTAAAATGTTAATAGTTAGTAAGAAATAAAAACATTTTCTAAATTTGGGCAAAATATGTTAATAAATAAGCAAACTACAACAGTTTACTTATCCTCCATAAGAACAACATGGGAATTTTAAATTTACAATTTTTTTGAATTTTCTCCGCAACCATTAGGCGCATTATAACGCTTCAATATACTAAATTATTTGTTTTTTTAAGCTCTACAAAATAGTTTGGAAAGAAATTGCAAAAAATTAAGTTTTTTGGGTCAAAAATGGGAAAAACCCATTTTTACCCCATAAAAGCCCCCATAAACCCCTGTTCCCATGGTCCGATCATGCTGGTTCGCGAACTCGTTCGAATAAACGTAGGTTTACACGTTTGTACCGTACCAATTTTCATCAAAATTGGATTATTTTTGCTCGAGTTATCGCGCTAACGGACACATATATATATATATATATATATATGAATTTGAACGGATGCTATTTTTGGCCTCTAGGGACCTCAAAACAAAAAAAAATCGGTCCCGGGTCCAGGTCTTACCATGAGTACTACGGTAATAGCTTATTCCCTATATGGGAAATTCGCTAAAAGAAAAATACTCTCTGACTTATATATTTAAATATACATTACTCTCCTTGCAATATTCTGAAATGATTTTCAACTGATTGGTTCTTTACAAATCTTGGTTGCCCCTGGGTTGGAAGAACAAAGTGAATAAAAATAAACAACAGAGCGTTGGCAGTGGAAGCTTGATGTTAAATAAAAATTGAGTGGGCCCTGTAGAATAAAATTATTCCCAGAAGTCCTTAGGGGACGTCCCTGGTACTGTTTATAGTTCTTCCAGTGCTGAAAACAATCTTAAATCTACACTGACTCTACTTTACACACTACCTACCACACTAATTTTAGTGTTGCACTTCAAAGGTGTATCCTTTGTAGTGGCTTCTTACTTGCTATAATTACCAAAACTCTATTGAATGAATTTGTATTGTACCAGAAATGAAATACCAAGGTTATTAAGAATTTGATAAATATATAACAATTCGATTTATTAAACAATAGGTACCTAATTATCTAAGTATCAACATAGCAACAATTTGTTTTATAATTTAATCTCTATGCTGAATATAACTCGAACAGTAATTAAAATAGTGAACACGCATACTGCTGCACCTTCATAAAACCTGTTTCATCGTTATTTCCATAAACGACATATTCAAACAAGTCCCCCCAAATCAAACCTCAAGACCATCATAAAAATCATCAAATCAAGCAATAGAGACATTCTAATTTCAAGCCTCCCCCCGCCCTCAACAAATATCCACACTATCAAACTCAAATCAGAAACATCAATGTATTCATCCAATAGTTTCATAACCCGCCCAGAATAAAAGTTCTTCAATTTCATAAATTTTTCCAACCGTTAACTGCAATAAAGCTGAAATATTTCAAACACAAATATTGTAATGGCAGAATAGATATCGTCCATCTATCACGAGAAGGCTACCGTATGCTTATCGCATCACTATCACCGCTTATCAAAACGGAACCAACTGTTGCGCCACCCCACCCTGCCCAGTCACTACACTGCTCAGCCAAATAGACAACAACAATGGATCAGCTGTCCTACCCCTTCACGCACTCACTTAATGTCGTTAGACGAAACATTTCGCTGTTGCTAATAGTTTTTCAGTGTTTGCAACGGAAATTTTGTTTCCACCTGAAGTCGGTAAAGATCAAAGGGAGTTGCAAACTTTTGTTTGCAACACTAGTTTCGGTCACTATGTGCCGTTGAAATACGAAACAGAAACATTTTCTCGCCATCCCCTATACGCTGCCACCTCCACTCTCACTCACGTGATCACTCGCACCACCATGTGTCTCGACTCAACTCAAGTGTCATTTACCCTGACTGGACTACTACTAGTTACCTCCTGCTTGTTGTGAGTGATCAGTGGTGAGTGACAATGGAAAATTTACTGAGTGAGATGGAGTGGGGAGATGACAAAATTCTAAAGTTAATTAGCTTGTACAGTAAGCAGCCAGTCCTGTGGAACCAAACTATTTCCGATTAAAAAAATAAAAACATGAAAAACTACACATGGAATGACATTTCATTCACGGAAGGACTGATCCCAGGAACCAGAACATAGGCGAGTCATAATCAACGTCGTAAGGGTTTCAAACTTTTTGTTTGAAACTTCGATGTAAACGCGGCTTTACAATTAAAAGCACAACTTAAACAAACTGTCCATTTTTTTGTAATTATTATCATAAAATAATTTTCCTATAAAATAATGTAAAAATGTTTACTTTCAGAAAAATGGTGCTAACTAACTATATTATGATTATGAAATTTATATTATAGACCTAGTCCTTTTAATTGTAAACAAATTTTAGCAGTTTAGCCAATGTTAAAATTGTCAAGCTCAAAAGTTAATATAATTTTTGTGATTTTCCCTATAGAAACCCCACAGGGAAAAAATCAGTGTTTGTTTGCTAATACAGTTTATTTTATTAAGAGTAACCTAGAGGAGGGGGAAAGTGGCCCCTCTGCATGTGGCCATCTATATATTTAATACGCGACATGAATCTTTGTGAACAATAAGGCTTTTTTGTATTAAGATTTAACCCTACATATTATATACCAAAATATTCGTCTAGGTGTGTAGATGTGCAAACTGGCTTTAGATTTTCGAAATATATCTTTTTAAGGGCGTAGGCTGCCCTCAAAGTTTCTTCCATAAGGATAACATTGTGACTGATTTGAATGTTATTCTATTCTGAACAGATGTCAATACGTTAGTCAAAAAATTAAATCCCAGCTGTTTTGTTTGGTTTTGAAGTGTAAACAGTTTTCATGTTTAGAAACCCGGCAAAGAAATGTTACCCATAATAGGAAACGAAGGAATAAAAGTTTTACATTATATTTTTGTTTAAACATGCCAAGGACCCGACGACATAAGAAATATTGCCGGTCGGACACGGCGAGTCAACTATATACTTCGATGGTCAACATACGGCAAGCAATGCAAAACGTAAGGAGCCCAGACGAGGAGCAGGAACAGTTAGTGGCAACGTGTACTTACACTGACAAATACAAGAACTCAGCAGCATTCACTTGGCGACATGGCATTAAAATGTCAGAAATGTGGTGCACTACATTTTAAGAACAAAGAGGGCTAGGCGAAGGATTTTCATCCTGCTGCCATAAAGGAAAAGTGAATCTACCACCATACCGATAAATCTATTATATCCAGAGCCTACTAAATGGAGCAAATCATTTGAGCAGAAAATACAAACAGAATATTTAGATCGTAGAACTCTGTGCTCGCAATGGTCAGCACTCGAGCTAAAATTGAAGAACATAACGGTGGAGGGCCTTTCATGTAAAAGGTGCACGACACAATTTATCACTCAATTGGCTCCTTTCAACCGTAAGAAGGGGAGCATCCCACACATGTCCAAATTTATATCTACGAACGTCGAAACCGCTGTTCAAGTAAAAAATACCCCCGCCGCAGCAAACCTGCCGATTAAGCGAATTTCCATTTGTCTGAATTGATTTTCAGTTAAATATATTTTAATAACATTAGGTTTAATGAGTACCTAGGTTTGCTGCTACAAGGAAACTAATAAAGTGTGTTTTTGAGTAAAATATTGATCACTTAGTACAAAATAAATAAATTTGTCAGGTTTGATCAAAATATATCCATAAACAAGCAAACTACAACATTTGACAATATTCTCCATAAGAATAACATAGGAATTTTAAATTTACAATTTTTTTAATTTTCTCCGTTACTAATCACCGAACAAAAATACTTTTATATACTAAATTATTTGTTTTTTTTAAGCTCTTTAAAAAGATCTAAAGAGAAATTGGGAAATTTTGTGTTTTGAGGGTCAAAAGTGAGAAAAACCAATTTTTACCCCATAAAACCCCCTGTAAAGCCCCGTTCCCATGGTCCGATCATGCTGGTTCGCGAACTCATTCAAGTTTATCCCGCTTTACACATTTAAACCAAATTTCATCAAAATCGGACCAAAATTACTCAAGTTATCGCGTTCACGGACGTATATATATATATATATATGTATAAAAATTTGAACGAATGGTGTTTTGGGCCTCTGGGGACATCAAAATGAAAAAGTAAATCGGTCCCGGGTCTAGGTCTTACCGTGCCACCTACGGTAATAGCTACTTCCCTATAGGGAAATTCGCTAAAATGCTAAACAAAGATCAGGGCTCTTGCAGTACTGAACTCAGGCACATTTTGACTCAACATTTTGTTGATATTATTAATCCATACGCGCAAGTTTTCAGCATGATGAGCTCCGTCCTGCAAAAATACTCCTACTGAACAGCAAAAAAAACTTAGAATGCATATAGCCAACGATCGAGCTCAAGACCAACGTCGATACAACGACGCAACTTCTAACGACGTTGCTATAATATCCTAATTTATTATTCGTGCGAATTCGCACGGGTTCACCTAGTCCTGACTATTACTGTAACAAAGTTAAGTTTAGAGATTCTTTGCAATTAAAGGAAAAAACAAAAATAGTAAATAGGACTCATATTTTTAAAATATTTATTTTAGTTACAAATAAATTGCTTTGCATATCAGTTCAACATTCTTATAACTATTTGGTATATAGTAAACACACCGTCAACAAATCACACAAATACAACTCAATGGAAAATAAATAAATTAACCTAAAACTACTTGAAATAAATTCAGTTACTGTATTTACAAAAATAAATTAATGAGTAATAAATTAAGACTTCAAACATTTAACTTGTAAACTTAAAGCAAAGACTAATAGGTAATTAATTATTTTATTCACACAGTAAAGGCACTGACATATCAAGAATTATTATTTGTTTCAAGGAATGCATTACTTGTATAAAAAATAACCTTGACATACTCAATACACACTCAAAACACAAACATGGGAAAACGTTTGTATCACAGCTATCAATTCAGTAAACCAACTGTTACGTAGCTACCTTATTGGTCATCCTTGTTTCAAACTACATCTACTGACTATTAAACAATAACACTTTATTGAATCATCCTCAAGATATTCATTTAAGTTTTGAACATGAGCTAAACTCAGGTCCCTTTAATAATTTAACATAAATGTGTAACTGAAAATGAAAACACAAAATGAGAAGGCTTAGGTATCACATTGTTAAGTGGTATAACTAGTCCGTATCTCTACACCTTTTCCACATTTATTTGAGAAGTTAGTAATTGTATTTGATTATCATTACTTGTATTTGAGAAAATATCAAATGTAAATTTCATTAGTCAGTTGAATTCCATAAACGACAAATGTATTTGAGAATAGTCAATTGTATTTGAGAAAGTATTATACGGAGTTGAGAAATTAATTGTTAATTTCATTTCAGAATGAGGGCTTTTAAGTTTTAACTGGAGAAGTTGGCTATACATAAATATAATTTACTGCTCTTAAATTAATTTGATGCCTTCTCAAATACAGCTGAATGTTCTCAACTTCATTTATTTGATGTTTTCCAAAATATGTTTACTAATCTAAAAAAAAATTGATATGTTCTGAAATAAACACAACTGTTTCTCAAATAAAATTGGAAAATGTGTAGTTAGTAGTAACATACTTTTAGTTATAGAAATGCCTTTGACTATTAATAGACTCTAGACATTTTTTTGATCCTCAGCTTTTAGTAATGTCCCTCAACTTAATTTTTATTGTGACTCCCTTTCATTTTAACTTCTAAATTATTAACTAACCGAAAACATAAAATATTTTTATCACATTTTAATTCCTTTTGATCGGCTTTTCCTGGATTTAAAAAGCTGGAAAAAATAGGGAATATAATAAGTTTGATTTACTTAATCCTATTTTAATGTTATTTTAAGCCTAGATTGAGTACTCGCTAAGTCAGATAATAATTGAGCTCAGCTGTGATAGTATTTATGCTATACAATATTGGCACGATCACAGAGAATTGTAGCTTGAAATAAAACTATTCCTCCACAGTGTTTCCACTTAAGGAAAACAAAAACCTCTTACCGAGCTGAGGAAATCCTTTTTTATCCTTCTTTTATCTTTATGTACTGAAAAATCCTGTTTTATCCTGCATGAATTTTATAAAAAATGCAGCTTTATCCTGAGTGATCTTTATGACGTATCATGTCAATTAAAAAAACTGTTAATCCTTGCTATCATGCTATGAATAATATGCTGTAATAATATGAATCACTCACAAATAGACTTTTCATCCAATTATAAATTCTGAAGCTTGATTTATGTTGATGAAGTTGAACACTAGTCTTCACAAAATGTTTTTCTCTTATTTTAGAGTCAACTTCATGATTTTTTTTTATTGTTTGGGCATAAGTCCAGAGGATGAGATATTGTTTATAATTAGATCGGATTCGGTTAAACCAGTTTTAAAATAAATAAAATGACAAGAAACAAATAATAGCAAACAAAAACACTATCTCCACATGAACCAGACAGAACTAACATAGTAAGTGTCTTCAGCTGATTCATAAAGATGACCTCCAAGAGAGTACAGTATGTTTAATCTATACCTCTAATATCAATTAAACCTTCAGACTATTCTGATCTTTGAGGCGACATTCAATAAAAAGCGTAAAGACAAAAATTCAACATTCTGGAACTCTTTTAGAATTTTTGCTACATTTAGAAGACGTCTTGAGCATTTGAAGAGCAATTTTTAACACGTTTCTAGAGGTATAGCTCCAATAAAACCTTTGATAGTCTCTTCTAATCATTCTGTGTCAAGTTGTTGAACTGGCGCAGCACGCCGATATCTGTGGGAATGTACAAGTGTTCACCGTCCTTGCGCCACTTCACCATCTGATGGTCCAGAAACTCTGTCAACATTGTCCGAAGTGCCAGGTCACTAGTCACCAACATCTCCTCCCGGCACCGGCCGTACAGCTCACTGAATGCCATACCTACAACACACCACTTTACACTTCATTTCTGTTCAAAGAAATGAACAGAACTCGTTATTTACGAGAGAGAGAGAGAGAGAGAGAGAGAGAGAGAGAGAGCCACTCAAACTTTTATGGGTATGTCATAGATTGAACCTCCTGCACTGAAGTCTGAGCTGCTAACCAACAGGATAACAACACTCCCAAATTGAAATCATCACAATTGTTTGGATCGGTGATGTGTCAAAACTTTAAATAAGATCCGGTTTTGATTTAAAAGTTTAGAAAATGAAGATTTTGGCAGTTTTGGCTTAGAAATTGCTGATATTTTTAGACATTATTATTGTTTATAAATATCAACGTTCATTTATCAATTCATACTTACTGAAATTGAAAAAAAAAAAATACTTCAATACTTTATTTATACATAAACAAAGTATAAATAAACACTACAACACCAAACATAAGTTTATTAATCATCCTATTTTATGGTTGTAAAATGGGTTAACAAATAAAAAAATAATAAACATTCCCCATTCATGGTTAGTTCAGGAAGGGATTTTTCTTAAGCATTGAAAACTTTAGTTTATTTTAAAAAAGTAGGTAAAAACAGCCAAAGCTATGCAAATGTGGACATCTAATGTAATCACGGTAAATTTGTGAACATCTGCGATTAAAAGACAAAATACCATCGTTACTTGTGATTGCGGATAAATTGCTGACAGTTGGTGGAACAAATTTCATCTTAAGACTGGAAATAGATATTCCCCCAAATTTGGGATTGGTCCATTCCTAATGATTATTTCCAAGTTACCAAATGGTATACAAAATATTTTCTTCAGGTGAAGCGGTATGCCAGAAAAAAATGTTGGGAAACACTGGTGTAAACCTTCTATAGGTCTCGCCTTCGCCAACCTAAGTTGATGCAGCCTAATCTGACCATCATTGGAAGGTCCTTTGCGACCCTTATACAATCCTATTAGCCAAGCTGAGATCTCTAGTTCAGTAACCAAATTATGATCTGATATACTGATTCACCACTTTATATTAATAACATCCATTTAACAAACATTTTGGTTTTCGTCCCTTTTGAAACAGACAGTTTTCATGGTTAATACACTAAACTAAACTAAAAACTATTAGACTTCATATTTATTTTGTTTATGGTGTAGAAAACTGTAAAAAAGGTCTGTTTACAAGAATAAGAATAAGAAACGTTGAATTGATGTTATTAATATAAACTGATTAATCTTTATAGGCCCTACTACTTATGTACAATACTACATCACATACTCGTAATTTGATTTATGTTAAGATTGAACAAGGGCGATCATGAAAGCATTGCTAATAGGATTAAAAAACGGTTGTGAAGGTTTGTTTGCTATTGAGCCTATTGAAGGTCCAATTACGCTGAATCTACATAGGTTGTCAAGACCTATTAGTTCTAGTTGTTTTCATCCTTATTTTCACAGTATCTATCTTACAACAGAATGGTATGAACTAGCCCAATTTGTAAATGTCTTAAAAGTTAAAAGTATACAGTAATTTAGTCAATTTTGATATATGCATCAGCAATATTTTATTCATATCAGCAACTTAATGTTGACATAACATTCCATACCATTATATTTAGCGTTGTTCTCGTCCAGATGTTTCTGAAGTATGATGCGGAACACACCACGAGAGTTGTGAGTGAGCGAGCGATATACATTCAGTAGAGAGGAGAGAGCGAGAGAGCCGGAGTTGTGAACCATCAGAGACGTCTCGTAAGAAGTCTCCTCCTGGTAAGGAAGGAACGACGTTGTATCCTCCCACACAAAGTTGAAAGCGCTCAACTTCGCTTGGTCCCATACTGAAACAATAATCATAATAAGAGCAATCCATGGTAAGTAGTGGTAATTGTAATAGGCCTAGAGTAAAAGTTCTTATTGTACAAAAATGTCAAGATGGAATAACCATCAGAAATAATTACAAAAAAAATGAATGTAAGCTTGGGTCGAAAAGACTTACTTTAGGCCCTAGTGACGGATTATATTTTTTTGTCATATTGCACCATTATAAGCAAAATAAGTTCAAAACGATTTAAATTTGAGCATGCAACAAGTAGCTGTTAAGTAATAGATTCAATCATTTTTTCTATTATGATTGTGTTAGTGTACATTATACTATTGATTTGTCAAGCTATTAAGAAGAATGCAAAAATAGGCTACATCCGATCAAAACAATTGATTCATACTTTTGATACATGCAATTGCTTGCAATCAGAGTTAACTACAGATGACTCCCTAAGAACTAAAAAAGCCTTTTACTCCCTTAGGAGAAAAAGAGATACTTTATACCAACAACGCTTGTACTAAAAACGGCTGCTTTGCTGCAGTAGGATGAATATACTTTTATAAAGTATCATGTGTGAAAAAAACATTTGAGCAGCATTATTACCCTAAACAATAAATGCATAGAGCAAACATCTGTACATACCAAGAGAGTGCAATATGAATAGATAGTGGGTATTATTTTACTTAACTATTTTTTATTCAAGTACGAAATTAATTTTTACAAATTATAGTTTCCAATAATCTACTGAAGCCTCACAAGACTTGTTCTGCAGCTGCATGTTAATAATAATCATGTTCATTTTAAAGTTTAAAAATGCATCAGTCAGCATCATTACACTTCACTCTTCATCCAACAAGCTACATGAATTGTAGCCATAAGTATGAATATAAAGTTAAGATAAAGAAAAAATAAACATTATAGCACTGTATTATGATAAAATTCCTTACTACACTTGTACGAATAATATCTTGAGACATAGTCACTACCAAAGTGTGAAGAACAATTTGTCTTTTGTTCGTTTATGTTTAGTTTATAAATTAACTACTCCAAGTAAAATATGCAATTTATGACCAAAAAAAATCAAACTGGTCATCCAACAACAAATACAATGAAGGAATACTTAAGCTAATACTGTTTTGTAAAGCAACAAGCGTCAAATGAAAAAAGGTAGTTATTATGAACTATCAACGCCGTACTCTAATAATTCTATTAGATAGGGATACTATCTACTAGTTATGTAACTCACACAGTGGACAGTTGATGTGGTCGATGCTGGCTATGAGATGCACCCTGGGTAAACTAGCAAGGTGAGCGAGCAGTTGTTGTGTCTTGTCACAACGTAGCGGCTCAGCGTCAATGTTGTGGATGACTAGAAACACTCGCGGGGTCCAGTGACGGCTCTCGATCCACTCAATCACAGCGTGAGGCGACGGCAGCGAGTGTTTCAGCCCCAGCAGATCAGTGGCTATGGTGTCCACAATCTGCACAGAAATTGGCTGTAGTGGATTGAGCTGTCTTGTATTTTACAATAGTAAAATTAAATTTGTATTGTTCCATCCTAATTTAATCACTTGAAGTCACTGTGTTTTCTTAATCTGATGGGTGTCTTTGGGTATTTTGGTGAACGCAGTAGGATTAAATCACTATTCATCAAATGGTCATTTTTGTTTTCACTTGGTCCATGTGTCAGTCCAAATCACATCACCAACTATGAAATTTACCAACCCAAAATGCTTATTGATTTTAGATGTGGCATATTAAAAGATACATTTTTAGCAGTTTGATAACGACAGGTGGTGTCTTTGACCAATAAGACAAAGTAGCAGGAAAAATATTCTGAATTTAGATCAAATTAATAACCTCGGTTGCCATATTAAAGGCAAATTGAACTGAGAACTAAAACAATGGAAATTTACCGTTTTTGAGATTAAAAACGTATGTCAGGTGTCAACCTGTGAAGATCTGAGATTCATCAAGGATGAATTTTAAATTTCCCTAATATTTCGCATTGGGTAGTAGCAGTGTATTATCAGGAATTAACTTTCGTCAATAATAAATAAATTAAGTATTCAAATCTTAGCTCAGGCTTCCTTTATTGAATTTTGTTTCCCTCCACAGTGGTTGTTACACCACTGTTTTCAAAGCAGTAGGCCTATTATTATTGGTTCAAACATTGTGTGTGTGGAACCCTTACTGGCTTGAACACAGTACTCTTTTACCAAAAACTTTCAAATTGATAGGCGAGATTCATAACCATTAAGCTACCCAGCCATAAAAATAGCTAAATAAACAGCTAAATCTTGGTCAACTTTAAACACCCAGGTTTATTTAACTTACAGTTTATTTTAATGTTGAAATCTGATAGTACTTTAGATAATGTAACTTACCTCTTTAATGCTAAGACTTGGAAAGAACCCGTTGACGACTAGAACATGACTGTCAGGCAGCATTTTGCAGTGAAACTTCTGAAGAATCTTGTATTTTGAGCCTAGACCGTAAGCGAGTATGCTAAAACCTTGGCTGAAAGTAAAAAGGCAATAAAGCCAGTTAGTATTTATTAGGTAAAAAAAATACAAATGCCATGAACGTTTATTTTTGGTAAATCGCCAAATCATCTGTTACCTATGGAAACGGGATTCAAAACATCAATCTACGGTGCTTTCTCCATGCCAGAGAGAATACCTTAGACCGCTTGACGGTTGATCACAGGTCAACCAAGGCCCAAGCGTGGTTCTCAACTTGACTCCTGGTTTGCAGCAAGTGACAAGTTGGCAAACAGCTCAAAAAGATTGTCAAGTGGAAATTTGAATTCGTTACTTTTGATGGTCGAGCTAGAGGTAGAGCTCAAGGTTTTCAGGGTAAGTCACAAGTCATTTATTTGGCCACATTTACATCAATGCATTGGCTAAGACAAGATACATTGAATTTAAAAATAAAGTTTGTCTAAAAAAACTATAACTATTATTTTAAACAATATTTACTTTCGATTAATCAATTCGTGAACAATAAAGCACAGCATATGCCCATGACTACCAGTCAGCAATAAAATCACGGACACGGTAGTACGTGTTCCTGTATTCATTTGTATAACTCATTATAAATGGATGAATGTTAAAAAAATTTACCGAACGAGTATTCTTGGTAAAGAGCTCTAGGTCGAAATAGGTTCGCTTTTGATAGGAAGAGCCTGTACAGTGGGAAAAAATTATAAATACATCATGAAATATTAAAATGTTGTGTGTATATATAAATGTGTTTCATACCGAGAAACTCATCCACTTTTCAGGTAAGCCTGCTCTCCCTATCAATATCGAAATAACAGTTTTTTCGGAACAGTTTTCATATCTTAAAACATTTCTCTGCCTCACCTAAGAGCGATCATCCACCTCTCATACATGGCCATGTCGTCCTCCCGGCGCCGCGCGAGGACAGAGCAGTGCGCCGGAGTCATAGAACTGTCCTTGAGCAACCGAAGCATTTCAGATGCATCCAGCCGTGGAGTGCGCAGCTTGCTGAGCACATGGTCTGACGTCTTACTTTTGGTCGACTTAGACTCAAAGTATTCATCAGCCGTGAATATCTACAGCATTAAAACATGAGGGTTCGATTTGTCAATTTCTTCATATCATCAAGCCTAACAGGTCATCTGACTTGGTTATTATGTATAGATTATTAGATTGAATCGAAAACTGATATTGTGCAGCATTAAATTAATTAAAAGACAACAGACTCTTTAAAAGATAGCAGTATTGGTTGTATGTTGGCTAAAAGACTGAATATATCATGAATCTTAGATTCCACTCACATAGTTGATGTCCTTCCCTCGCCTTTTGGCTGTTGGAGTGGCAGACGGCTGAAAGCGTAGAGAGCGTCGACACGATTGGCTCGGACCTTCGCTACCTTTGCCTGAGTCACTGTCAGACTCATCAACAGCTTCCTCCGACTCACTAGACTCACTTCCACTGCCTTCAAAATCACTGTCCTCATCTTCACCTGCATCACTGTCATCACACTCCATCTGTCTTGTGTGCACCTTGATTGCTGTGTACCAGAAAATGGTTAAGTATGCTTTAAAAGGAAACAGTCAAGTAAAGAACACATGAAGGGTGCCAGATTGTAAAAAATTTATTACCAAACATAATGATAAAATTAATTTATAGGAAATAAGTTGTCAACCATACTCCAACCATCCGAAGTCCAACTGACCAAACATCAATCATTCGAATCGCCAATTATCTTGATTACCTCAAGGAGAAAAAATGAACTAAATTCAGCCGGAAAAATTAAGTTATTGCAGCTTGTTACTGTTTACAATAAGCTGTTGCCTAATCTAATATAAGACATTCAGAAGTTAAAGTTGGTAATACTTAATTTTTAATAAAAAAAAAATCAAGTAGCAAAGAAGAAGAGGGTAACAAAGAGTTTTAAAATCTCTCATCTACCACTTTTAAAGATCTTTCATTTAGAAGTTTCATATATCAGTACAGTTAAGTAAAATGTAAAGTTTTGCCCAATTAACGAATAATTAGATGGTAAAACACCTACTTAATACATAACTCACCCTTTATAGTTTTTGCTCGAGTGTTATACGGTGTTTTTGGAATAGAAATGCAGCTCTGAACAACATTCCTACTTGGGGTAGCATTTTGTTTTTTTGGAGTCTGTTTTGAAGGAGTCTGAATAACTTTAGAAGAGTTTCGAGGCCGGCCTCGTTTTGGAGTTGCGACTTTAATTGGAGTTTTCTTTGCTGTGGGAGTTCCAGAACTGTCCTTGCTGACTGATTCCTTCGCCTTTTGTAACATTGCTTTCCTCTTTCTTGGCGTTCGGAAAGAGCACATTTCACCTCCTTCGATATCATCTTCATAACAAATATCTAAATGACAAGAAACAAAAACAAATTAGCTATAGAATTGTATAAAAGTTTTATTTTATAAAGTAAACATGTATTTAACAAAACAACAAGCTTTAAATCTAGTTGGTAAAAGATTTCTGATTGATTTACTAAGACAACAAAACAAGAGTGAGGCTATAGTTCGGCCGCTTAGAAAGCGACCTGCGCGCTAATGCTAAACCATTGCTAGAGGAGGTCGCTTTCTAAGCGGCCGAACTATAGTATGTAAATACCCAGCCGCAATAAACATATGGAATAAGCAAATTGCTATTTGTCAATAAGTAAAATCTTCCCATTTACAAGTCATATTTATTCTCCATTTAAATATCATTAGATTTAAAGAGTACCTATTTAGATTTGTTAGCCTACTACTATTTATTTTCCAGATCCCTTACATAGTTCTAGGCCCTTTAGATATAAAAAAGTCCTATGGTCACTTTTATTTTTTTGGGACATGATTTACTGAGAAAAGTAATCATTAACAATTAATTTTATAATTAATTAGTCTTAATTAAATGGGGGAATTAATTTAAATAAAAATGAGAACAGTGTACAAGTTGCATGAAGGACTATGATTTAAATTACTACAACGAACAAGTTCGTTCTATTCATAGTACTGTAAATCTAAATCCAAAGGAACTCGAGAAACCTGCCGACTCGACTCACAAAACTGCATTGGTATTAGCTGATGGCAAGTCCAGCTCACGAAACACTCCAGCTATTGGCCGAAAGTGAGTCAATTGACAATTAGAGATAGGTATTACTCAATTTGAAACTCATTTGAAACCAGAAATTCAGAAGCAGCCGTGATCAGTCAGAATCGAGTCTGACTTCACTTGTAACTCGTCGTCACATCACTTATAAATAACTCAACTAAAACAATGCAATTTTAAAAATCCAATAGGTCTACATAAGAAGATTTTGATCCAAACAACTGATAGTGGGAGATATGAAAAACAATAAAAAAACTAACCTCTTGGTTTTTCACATTTCTCGTCTGTACCAATCACAAAATCTTCGGAATTTGATTCTTCTTCAATTGTGTTTATATTTATAGCAGTAAGTCTTCTCTTTATGGGTTTTCTATTTGATTTCGGGGTGTTAAGGCCAGATTCCAGAGGCTGTGCAGCCCCTAAAATACAAATTGAAACTTGTATAACATACACATCCTTAGGTCAAAATTAATTTATGCCTATAATACTTAACCTTAGTTAAAAAAAAATTGAACAGTAATTAATAGCACCTAACAGTCGCGGGCTAACCTATTACATTCCCGTATCTCCTAGTAAACATTGTGTAATTTGTATATTTGGACACCGTTTGCTGAGTACTAGTGCCTAAAATGCTTTCCTAACAATCAGACCGTTGACGGTTAAACCTAGGAAAAGTCAATAAAATAATGATTCAAAACTGGATCCTGCTATGCTCGATCACTGAATCAAGTTAACACTTTAAGCCTTAAGCCTAGTTTTTATTTACAGTATAAATTATTTCTCTGTTCATTAATTTTTTATGTTTTATCCTTTTATGTTTTTTTATCATATAGGCCCTAGGCCTACATTTGTTCAACTTGATTATGTAAAAAAACTTAAAAGCAAAAAAGAAATTCTGTTTCCTCCTCCTCTATAGGCTACTAATGTAAAAAGAAACAAAACTGGTGTTGTGTGCAATCCCAATAAAAGTTAATGCGGTAAACTTTCACCAAAGCCGGTCATTGTTTATTTAAAGTGTTCAAACCACACCAGCTCTGAGGCCACACATTATCAAGCCAAATATGAATTGCACGTGTACAGGATTTGAACCAGCGCAAATAGAAAGATGTTAACGCTACCCTCCTCAGTGCGACTGAGCTACCATGCCACAGTCGACCGAACATGACAAATTAAAATTCCTAATTCACTCACAAACACTTAAAAAGTACAAGATAGGAGTGTCGTCATGTTAATAAGTAAACTAATTAATATATACACACAACTAAAAATAATTATTACAGCTGACATCAAGTAAAAGTTACCATTAACTTAAAAAAACAACATATAAGATAGGCTAATAATAATGCTAAAGTTAATAATGTCATCTGGTATGTATTCAACAGAATTTGGTTTGTAAAATAATTCTTGTCCGTTAAAAAAACATCAGAATAAAAATCTTCTAATTTTATTATTGATCATCATTTTGACAAGTGTCGCTAGGCCTACAAGCACACTAAGTAAGCACTCGTATGTGAGCTTCAACAACTAAAACACTGAGCTATACCTGCGCTTAGGTTTGTACAGTAATAATAATTGATGAACCTGGCTAAAGAAACAGGTTATCTCAGTAACAAGGATCATAACACTCCATTCTGAACTACAATTCACTTTTATTGTTTTATAATACTACACCTATTTGCGTAACCATCTTAAATTTTTAATGGAGTGATTTTCCCGCACCTGATGTACGCAGTGCTGGTTTAAGAATTGAAACTATTTGAAACTAACCTAACATAACTAACCAAACTTGCTGTAGGGTACGTTACCGTTTCAAAATTCTGTTTGATAACAGAAAAGGCATATGGGGAATAGGCTATCAAAACGGAATTTTGAAATGTTACAGCAAGTTTGGTTGGTTAGGTTAGTTTAGAACAGTTTCATTTCAATATAATATTTTTTTTATTGTTTGTTGATACTGAACAATATTTATTTATCGTAGCTGTCAGCTGATAAGTTTCAATTTTTTAATATCAATATCGAATAAAAAAATAAAATATCGATATAGCCTACCTAAAAGACATCATTGATAATAATGAATGTTCCCTTTAACAGGAAAGAACCTAATTCTCATCTTAAATTGCCAGCTCACTCAACAACATTTTTCAAGAGACACTTCCGTTACAATGGCATTAAACATTTTGATCTCCACCCTCCCGCCCTTCAGCTGGGGTCGGACTTGAACAGCTTTAAAAAGGAAATCAAAAAAATACTCTAGGCCAAGGGTTACTACAGTGTTCAAGATTGTGTCGCTGATGGATTTAGTTGGTTAGTTTTTTTAAAGGAGTATAATTGACATAGTTTTATTGAAGCACCATTGTTGTAAATTTTTAATTTTAGGCTAGTTCTAAGATATTAATTGACATGACCAATGCAAATTTTGTATTTGTTATTTTGGTTCAATAAATGAGTTATTGAGTTAATAAGTTAATAATAATACTAATACTGGCCTAAAGCAATGTTTACACGAGCACAGCAGTAGAGCAGGCAGGTTACTTGCCTGTATTTTACCTGAGGCAAGTAACCAAACTGGCTTTGAATCTGCTAATTAATTGTGTAATAATGTGATAAAAATTAATCTTAAATCTTCGATGTCTTCACCACAATCCGTAACTGTGGCCTTACCTGATCTGATGTCTTCTATGTGGATAATCTGCTTAACATTATCATCGCTTATAAATTTTACATTAAGTTGGCAGGAGTCTTTTTCAGGCGAATTTCTTGACTTCAAGCTTAAACTTATCCTTGATGATCTCCTCGTCGACATCGTTACTAAATTTTCTTCCTGAAATATTTGTTTTTCTACGTAATATAGGCCTAGGTCAACTAATTCAATGCATATAAAAAAATATTTATGAGGGTTTAAGCTCACATTTTAACTACATCATATAAACTCTGACTAGGCCAAGCTTTTGATTTATGATCTTAAATTCAGCATTCTATAGTTCACCAGAGAAGGTGAGAAGGTTAGACCCTAAAAGTTTTGTGACTTTTTAAACATACTGTGTCACAAGTTGTGCAATTTAATAAGCATTTAAAACCATAGGTGTTTGAAGATGACACCATCGGCAAGTGAGGTTGTATAAAGTTACTTTCATAATAGGGTTATGTAGGCTACGCCCAATGACTGCTACCTTTGTGGTGATTTAAAACCATTAATGATAGTAAATAGCATTATGAGATATTTACACTAAGACTTCATGAACTTAAACCTTAAGCTAACATACAGCCTAGCATAGACTAAACAACACAAGGCAGTAGGCTAAGCCTATAACTTAACGTACCGGTACCGGTATGCAAAAATATAAGGAAACAAAATAACTGCCTTGTACAGTAAGTAAATAACTTAAGATTTTACTGGGTTTACAGTTTCTTAACTGGGCTACACTAATATCGATTGAAAATATTGATTCGATTAGTAAACCTTCATTCGACTTTTTTCACTATCAGCAAGTTTGGTTGGTTAGATTAGGTTATAACTGTTTCATTTTATAATTGACATAGGCCTAGGCTAGTTTAAAAAATCGAAGGTCTACTAATCAAATCGATATTTTCAATAGATATTAGCGTAGCCCAGTTAAAAAAGTGTACCCCAGCATTCTTTGAACTATTTGCAGGAGTGGTTTGCAAGAAACCGGCTAAAACTCAATGATGAGAAAACCCAAGCCATCACCTGCACTCTGAAGAAAGGTAATGACGATGAGGCACTGAGGCAGTCAAACTTCTTGGCTTTTGGATTGACTCAAAGATCAATTGGAGTCAGCATATTGAGAAGGTATGCGTTAGATTGAGCAGAATTCTATTCCTTGTACGAAAACTAAAGTACCAGATCACTCGTCCCTATCTGCTAATGGTCTACCACTCTCTCTTCCATAGCCACATAAACTATGGACTGGCTGTGTGGGGACATAGCCCCGCTACCCAAAGTCTGCTGCTACTTCAAAAGAAGGCCGTACGTATAATAACATCGTCAAGTTCAACTGACCATTGTCGGCCTATTTTCAAGGAGCTTGGCATCCTGACCATTCACAGCCAATACGTGCTTAACATCCTAGCCCTCCTGAAAGAAAATGAACCATCCTTCATAACTAGAAGCGTACAGCATGATTATGGGACGCGCAGAGCATGTGATCTTGACCTGCCCCGCTGCCGACTCAGTCACACTCTTAACTCCTACCCATCACTTGCTATTCGGCTTTTCAATACACTGCCGATAGGAGTTCGTGCTCTTGACAAAAAGAGATTCAAGTTGACGCTACGCCAGAGTTTGCTTAGTAGACCGCTTTACTCCTGGCAAGAAATCTTTGACGAGCCTCTGGTTTTTGTAAATAATACCGCCATACCCGCCATTGTTGCTTAGTTGTATATATATGTTTTGTGTTTAAATGTTTTTAATGTAAATAAGACGCAATCTACCCAACTTTGTTGGTCAAAGATGAAGTAACCAAGTATCAAGTAACCAAGTATCAAGTAAGTAAGTATTTTCCATCTCCATCCATCCGGTTTTGAGAAACTTAACCTTGTTAACTAACTACACATGCACGTCATACATTCCTAATATTGCCTACCTAGCCTACATCAATATAAATAAAGCTGAGCAAACATTAAAATTATTATTTGAAAACAAATTATAAATTACCGGAAACAATTATTGTTGTTACAACTGTATTTAAATTAAATTACGAACAAAATTCAATCAGTTGAAAAGATAAAGTTATATAGTACTAGTAGGCGAAAAAGTGTTTAGTATAGTATTTTGTGTGTGACATATGTGTTGTGTTTGTTTGTTTTGTTTACTCAGCAAAGTACCAAAAACATTTTCCCGCGTAAATCCTCTGTATGGAGCAAAGAGTATAAAAAAGCAAGAAATTAAGAAGGTGGCTATGGGACACGGCCACCTTTAACTCCACTCCGCTTTAAATGTACAGACAGATTATTTTCTATTCATTATTGTCTTAGTTTTCAGTTCTGTATGTTTTATTTTCAATATTTTAATAAATTTATGTTCATAAATTTAAATCAATAAAATGCTAATTAATTAGCTGTCTCCCATGTTATCTTATGGGCCGTCTGACATTAAACAACCCTTTACTAGATATGGGACTAAGGCTAACATATCTTGTAGTGTCAGCGTTCGACGCTAGAACTGCTAAGTTGAAAAAATAATTATTTTTTTTAGTTATAAAATTAACTTTTTAATTATAAAACATTGTTTTACAATTATAAAATAAATTTTTAATTTTTAAAATTAAACTGTCATAACATAACCTAACCAACCAGACTTGCTGATAATATAAAAACTATAAGATAAAAATCTAATTAATGATTACTTATAATTTTTAATTAATTATAAAATTAATTTTAAAATTTTGTATTATAAAATTAAACTGTCATAACCTAACCTAACCAACCAAACTTGCTGATATGAAAAATTTGTTGACAAAAAGTTAGTGCTGCCAGCGATATTTGAACCCGGGACCTCCTGAATACCAATTCGATACGCTACCATCTATGCCACGAACGCCGCTAAAATCACATCGTTTCGTTACGGTAATCGTGTCGCCTCAAGAGAAGACATTAGCCACTAGAGATATGACGTCACTAAAACTTTAGCCTTAGTCCCTCCCGTGTGCCCATTCCCTACTCGCGACGTTGCCAATTCTACGAGGCCACGGCCTGGAGCACGGCCACCTTTAACTCCAGGCCGCGGCCTTCAAAGTGGCAATGTCGCAACTGGTGTTGTAACAGCTGTTTTATTTGGAAGCAGCTACAGTAATGGTATTTGTGTATTTACGAAAGATTGGTTACTGGACTATGACAATATTGACTCCACTTAATATGTACAGATATGGATTTTTAATTCATATTGTTTCAGTTTTCAATTTTGTATGTTTTATTTTCAAAATTTTAATAAATGTAGGCTACGTTCATTAATTTAAATTTAAACCAATAAAGTGCGAATAAATGAGCTGGTGTCACCTGTCTGCCATGTTATCTTATGGGACGTCTGTCACTAAACACTACTTGCAGTTTTAGTCGTGGACCCCGTATTTAAGGAGATATAATAATACAGTGTATTGCATTTTATTGATTTCTAAAACTTTTAACTGCCATAGGTAAATTTGTTCAGAACAATAAGTTTAGTTTAATTATGTAATTTTAAAATTTTCGTATTAATGCAATAGTATTATATTTTTCACTGAATATTTTTTTGTATCTGTTCAATTAATATTGAAAGCACACATACGGTAAGTGTAAACAACCTGTAACATATTTTGAGTGTTACATTTCATTATAGGTGAAAAAATTAATGGAAAACTTGTTTTCTAGCACTATATTATTAGACTCGGGTTAATTTACAGAGTGCGCGGATTGTGCACGTATTTTAAGGTATTGTGCGCGGATTAGAGAGGAAAAAGCGGGATTTTCGGTACGATGTCATAGCTTATAATGTCATAGCTTATAATTGCGAATTTGTTGCATAGCTTATAATCTTGAAAATGTGGCATAGCTTATAATGGAAAATTTAAATTGTTCCATAGCTTATAATCGTAGAAATGAGGCATAGCTTATAACGGTTTTCTTAAAATGTGGCATTACTTATAATGGCATAGCTCAAATGTGCTGCAGCTTATAAAATCTCGTTTGTTCTATAGCTTATAATTTTAAAAATGTGGCATAGCTTATAACGCGCGGAAATTACGTCATAGCGGATGGGACAGCTGATCGATCCTGAGTAGACAAACAAAATGTCGTGCAAAGGTCCTCAAATTATCGTATCGACTAGCAGCCGCTACTCGGCAATAAGAAGTCGCGTTAAGTGCAGCCAACGTAGCAAAACCAAAAGTATTTCAAGTTTTTTTTACTCCTGGACGACATATGTAATAGATGTATATATTAAATGGTGTTTGTTGAATAATAGAATAATTTGTTGTATCTGCTGTTTTACTTTAATTATGTAAGCTGAAATATATTATCATAAGTTTGATATTGCTCGTGTTGCTTATTTATACTATGCATGATAACTATTGTATAGGTAATATTTATTTTGTAATATTGTGTAATACCGGTGTAAAAATACTTTTTCATAGATAAACCCGTAGACTATGCAACATAAGTAGACTTCTCTTCCCATTGTTGATTTTGAAGCTTGTTTTTCGTGTCTATTTCAAGTACGTCGACACTGATCGCTAGTGTAAACGAAATCTTGTTTCTATTATATTAGGGTAATTTTATGATTTGTGCTTTACTGTTTGGTTATATAACTAGGAGACCAGTTATTTTTATGATTAGATAGTTTTATTTGGTTAAATTAGGTTTTAAATAACTGAAACAACAATATTAAGAAACATATTGTAAAAAAACACAACCTCTACAGTTGGCATAGAATAGCAATAAAATTGGCTTCAGCTTTTCAACAAGAATGACAAATCTTCTAAGGGACTTAATGTTTGATCTATGATCAAAACATGTTTAGTAGATTTGTCATACTTATGGAGCAGCTTAAGCCCAAATTTTAGTTTTATTTCTGTACGGTGCAATGTAGATTATAGAGTTCATGTTTTGTTTACAATTTGTTTCTTATTATTTCACTGTTTACGCCTTCATTTAGCCAAATAAAACGATCTTGTCATGTAGCGGTCAGTGTCACAGGACAAGAACTACAAAACAGTGCAACCCCCATTTCTGTAAACATTATGTTTCAAAAGTTAATGCAACTTTTCTGTTAAAAAGTAACCCAAGCATGATTTTTTATTGCAAGAAAAATTAAAATATTCTTCCCAA